ATCATCATCAACACTACCATCATGATTATCATTATGATTGATCAACTGACCATTAATGATTTTATTGATGATGATGATTGAATCATTGAACTGTATTGTGTATGTGTGGGTGGAATGATGGCCAAAGACCTGAAAATCTTATTCCTTGTAAGAAAGAAAATGAAACGAAAGTTTTTGCAACTGAGAACAAAGGGTGTTTGTTTGTTATGGTTTTTCTTTCTGTTTTTTCGGTTTTCGTCGTCATCATCATTATAAGAATGAAAATATTCGTGGGCCAATAGACAAAACAAAACAAAACCAAAAAAATGGTTTATAAACAAACAAGGTAGGTTGATATTTTTTTTTGTTTCTTTTTCAAAACTGTACTTTTACCGTTATTTTCTTTCTTATATTCATTTTCGCCAAAAAAAAAATATGTTCGATATACTATTTCGACCTGTGTTTGATTGGGTAAAAAGAGAGAGAGAAAAAATAGCCATTTTTTCCAGTAATTTTTTTTATTATTATAAAAATTATCAATCTTGTGAAAAAATACATTGTTAATTTCGATAAAGTAAAGAAATTTAAATAATTTATCCAGATAATTTCATTGATAACATTGTAAAACGTGCATATATTATCATNCGTGTTAATACAGCAATTGTACCAATTTTAATACCCCATGGTTTTAAATTAACCATACGTTGATAATAATTCATAATTTGTAATTTAAAACGTAAACATGATGTATTATTAATTAAAACAATTGTATGTTGTAATTCATAACGAATAGAATTCAGATGAGAATTCAATAATGAAATATAATATGATAATAAAACAACAAAACAAATATAACAAACAAATGCATAATATAATACAATTAATAAAACAAATTGAAAATTTTCAATTTCTTTTAATGCATTCATAAATATTTGTGTACCAATAATACCAACAATTATTATACATAATATTAACCGTGATACATAACGTTGAATATCTTCACTAAATATTATCAAACGTGTATATAAACGAAATGAATGATTTAATTTTGTTTCGATTAATCGAAGAAAAATTTTTCTTTCCATTAAATTTAATTCAGATTTTTTGGAAATTATTATTGAATATATACGTAATATACGTTGTATATCAATACGTACTTTTCGTATAGTTTTCATACCTAATAATAATGTAAATGAACCAATTATAAATGGACAATATGAAAATAATACAGTAAAATTTAATGATATTGCAACTAATTGTCCATTTAATAAATGTATTATCAATTGCCAAATAGGACGATTAATAGTGATTACTTTTTTAAATATAAATATATAGAAACCAATATTTATTGATGCTAAATTATCATTGATTTGAAAAAAAAGTGTTAATTAAATACTAAATGGTAGTTTGTTTGTTTGTTTGTTTTTTTTGCTGTTGTTGTAAAACTTACCGATAAATATTTGTATAAAATAATAAAAACGATTAACATATAAACGTAATTTTTTAATATTTGTTGGAAATTTTTTTATAGAATAATTAAATAATAATGATGATGTACGTGAATAATTACCATATTTTATCTGAATAATTTGATGAATTTTTGATAAATTATAATTATTATTATTATCATATTCACGTAAATACATTATTAATGTACGAAATGATAATGAATTTTCTGTACAAAATGTATTATAAATTATTAATACCGAAAATAGAAAACAGAATGAAAGAAAAAATGAAAATAAATTTTCAGCTGATTTTACATCATTCGACATGATTGGTGTCATATCACCGATTAGAAATTTTATCGTTTTTGAATATTCAATCCAACCAAAACTTTTGGTTAGATGATAAATTCCTAGAATGGTTGCATTTAAAAATTGTAATCGTTCTAATATTGGTAATGATTTAAAACGTTTCCAACCAATTTCTTTGATCAATAAAAAACAAGTATAAAAATCAAATATCGTACGATTTGATTGTAATGAATATGAATTTAGATAAATTATTGATAAAATACGATAAATAATTTGTAGATAATGATCTAATTGATTCATTTTCATTATGAATATTTCTTTTTCTTTCTTTTTTTTCAAATATTCAAATTCGGATCAAGTTAAATCATCTGAATGAATGAATAAATGACTGATTTGAGTGTGAATTTTCATTCAGTTTTTCAAATTTTCATTTAGTTTTATTCAAAAAACAACAACAAAATCGATGGTTACTAATGATTAAAAAAAATGTTATTCTTTTAACAGAAAAAAACATTGAATTTTAATTTATTTTTAATGAAAATTTTTGTTCAAAAATGCACGATATTTTTACATTTTATTCATCAATCAAATTGACAACCGAAAAAACAAAACAAAACAATTCATCAAATGACAAATGATATTTTAATTAAAAACAGGGAAATTTTCATATTTTTTTTGTACTCAAATCGATTTCAAACAAGATGATGAAAAACAGAATCCAGAAAAAAACAATGATTATGATAATCTACTTGCCAACAATGTAAAACGTGCATAAAGTATGATGAGCTATATTTTTAAGGGAAGATAAAAGAAAAGAAATTCAAATGTACAAAATTTAAAAGTTACAAAATCATCAATTAATTGTTTACTTACACGCATAAAAACCCATTTAGTAACAACAGTTAAATCACCAATTCTAATACCCCATTGTTTACGTGTAATTAAACGTTCATTTAATAACATTAATTGAAATTTTCTAGAAAAATTTGTTTGATTTATAATAATAATTGGTTGTAATTGTTGTCCAATTGAATTTAATTGTTGATTAAATAATGATAATGAATATGTCATTAATATTATAATCATATAATCTAATAATAGACAATAGATGAGGATAAACCATGTAAAATAAATTTCTGTTTGTAATTGTCTTAGTTTACTTAAAACAATTTGACTAGCCAAAATTGTAATTAATAATGATGAAAATAATAATTTTGAAAAATATTTTGCTATATCTTCAACCATTATAATTAAACGTGTATACATTTGATATAAATTTATAATATTTTGTTCAATAAGTTTTATTTCTAATTTGTTTAATTGTAATAATAATTTATTTGAATTTTGTATAATTTTTGTTTTATTTTTAATTTCTGTTTGAAAATGTTTTGATAATTTATAACCCCAAATTATAAGATAAAATGCTAAAATTATTGGACAATAAATAAATGTAAATATAAAATTTAATGCAATTGCATGCAAATGAAATGTTATTGAACGGATTAAAATATCTAGAATTGTTTGTTGTGAATAAAAGTTAAATGCTTCATCAATCAATGCAGCTAAATGGATAAAAACTATGAAAAATTTCTTCATTATAATTATAATTGATAACAAAAAAAACACATCAACTTACAATGTAATAATTGAACAAATTTATAAAAACGATTAAATACTGATCTTAAATCATTAAATTTGAATGAAGTTTTCATATGACTATAATCGATTAATATAGCTGCAGAACGATTGAATTTTAATTGTTGATTAATTAATGAATTAATATTCATTGGATAATTATCATTATCATCATTTTGTTGATCATTATTATCTCTTGCATAATAAATAACTGTACGTAATGATAATGATGATTGTGTTCGAAATGAATCATAAATAATTGTTGTTAATATAAAATTTGATATCGATAATAATGATGATAATAATGGTCTGGATGATGATGATTGTATTATTAATGTTATATCACCAGTTATAAATTCTAAATAATTATCTAATTGTATTAATTGAAAATATTTTAAAAAATTAAATATTATCATTAATGATACTAATAATAAACGAATTTGTTCACGTTTAGGTAATTGAAATATAATGAATTTATTTTTTGATTGTAATATTTTCAAATCAATTAATAAAAATTCAGTATAAAAATTAAAAATTGATCCATATTTTATTGGTTTATAAGAACTAAAATAAAAAATGGATAAATAATAATAAATTTTGGATAAAATTTTATCAATTATAATCATTTTTGTAATGGTTTGTGTTGGTTGGTTGGTTATCATCAAAATAAGTTTGTGTTCGGTTTTGAAACAGGAGAAAAAAAACAAAATAAATTTGAATTGATCTAAAAATGGTTATGAGTATGAATGAGGAAAAGGAATATTTTTCGTCAATTTATTTTTAATCATAATGGAAAAATGATCAAAAGAAAAGAGAGAAAAAACATACACAATTTTCCAGAATAATTAATTCTCGAAAACTTTTTATTTTTCTATTTTTAATGACGTATTTTGAAATTGTTTTACGTTTGCAAATTTAGCAGACAATTAAACTTTTATCATTTATTTGAATTGTTTTTGTGTATGTGTGTTCAAAGGAAAAAAACAGAAAGTAGTTGGGTCGGTTGGTTGAAAAGTCATTATTCATTTGTATTTCTTTTCAATTTTTTTGTTTTTGTTTTTGTTTTTGGAAGGGGGGATAAATGACATTTTTTTTTCATTGAAAAATACATGTATGTATTGAAAATCGATTAAATTGTCTTTGTTTGTTTTGGTGGAAAATTTCCTGTATTTATTTCCAGATAATCAATCAATCATGAATAATATTCGTTTATTGATTTATTGATTTGGTTTAAATTAAAGTTAAAAAAAATTAAAATAATAAAGATGGCGCCACTTTAAGCAACAATAAATTGATTTCAAAAATCCATTCGATTCGAATTGCAATTTTATCCAATGATTTAGAATATTTTATTAGCTAACATCATAAATCGGGCATTAGCTATTATTAACTGTTGTTTTTTTTACAGAAAAAATAAATGAATTAATTAGATTTTAATTAAAATAATGTTTATCTCTATGGTATACTTTTAAAAATGTTGCAGTTGTCATAACGGTTATAGTACCAATTTGAAATCCCCATAATTTTCCTGGATAAACTAATCGTTCATAATACATTAACATTCGAAATTTATTTTGAAACGATGGTGATGAACAATTCATCAGATAAATTGTTTGTTGTAGATCATATCGTATTGAATTTAAATGTTTATTAAATAATGATACTGTAAATGATAATATTAAAATGATTATATAATCAACGGCTAGACTATAATATAATAATATTATTATATAATTATCATCAGGTATAAATCTTAAAGTTTTCAATATAATCTGACTTGATAGTATCGTACCAATAACACTGAGTAGAAATAGTTTGGAATAATATTTTTGACATTCTTCAAAAAATATTATCAATCGTTGATGTATTGAATAGAAATGAAATAGATTTTTTTCAATTCTAGTTATTAGAATAATTTTTTTACAATTCAATTTCAAATTTATAACATTTTTCTTTATCTTTTCATTGAAAATCATTATTATTATTTGATATTTTTTTAAATGATTGAAAATTTTATGTCTTATCAATTGAATTGTTTTGAATCCCAATGAGAATATCAAATATATCCAACTTAATATCATATATGCAGATGTAAAAAAAAAATTTGATACAATTGCCTGAATATGTAATGAAATGAATCGTATAATATCATGCCAGAATGGATGTGAATCAAATTGATTTGGATACATTGCAAAATAGACTAAAATTATTTGTATTATAACTAGAATTTTTGTTTTTAAAAAGGATTCATTAATATTGTAATTGATTGAACAAAATGATAATTTTACTTACAATTGAAAATTATTGAATAACATTGTATTTGAATGAATAATTTACGAAAATTTGATAAATTTAAACCAATTTTTCTTTCACAATAGATAAACAGTTTGGCTGTTGATCGGCAATATTTCATTGGATTTTTTTCATATAATTTTTCTATACTGAAATTATCCTTAGTTTCAATTGTAAACAATATAAATGTCTGAAATGCTTTGATATTTTTTGTATTGAATGATTGATAAAAAAAATAACCAATAAACATGCCTGTATAACCAAAAAGCCATGCCATATTTTTTCGAAAATGATTCCATAATAATGGATCAGTTTTTTCTATATGTGTGATCAATAAATCACCCATAATAAAACGTATTTGATTAGAATATTGTATTGAATTGATTGAAATATAATAGCCACATACAATGATTGTTAATATAAAACGTAGCCGATCTTTTTTCGGTAATAATGTAAGCAAATATTTTTTATTTTCATTATTTTCATTTTTAATTAACATATAGCTTGCATAATAATCATAAATTGTTTTGTATGATTTTGTTGAATATGAATTCATATAAATTATTGATAATATTCTAAATAATTTATTTATAACATGATAGAACGATATTTTTTCCATTTTTTTGTAAAAAAATTTTATTTTAAAAATTTCTCATTTCTTTTCGCACATCATACTGATGATGATGATGATGATGATGATGATTACATTTCAAATAATATTTAAAAGTGAAAAGCAAAAACAGCAAAAAAAAATTTCCATTCAAAGTTTTCAAATATTTAATATTTTCTTTCTTTCGTTACTTAGTAATGATGATGATGATCATTATAATCATCATTAAGAAAAAAAAATATATATACAATTCTTAATTAAATACTATTAATAATCTTTTTTTCCTGTTAACGATATGTTTTCTTCCTTTTATTTTTGCTACTGATGATCTATTGATCTGTTGACATCTGTTAGTTATTGGATACTATATTAAATGTAGAATTTCGTTTCATTTTTAAAGGAAACTAAAAAAAAAAAAATTCAGATCAAAGACAAAAACAAAAATCAATTTAATTGACATTATGTTTATATAGTGATATTGATTTTTGTTTTTGTTGTTGTTGTTGATTGAATTTGATTGATTCAGAATAGTTTATTGGTTAACATTGTAAATCGGGCATTAGTCAATATTAACTGTTTCAAAAGAAAAATTACATTACATACATACATGAAATTATGATATTTTTAAAAGAAATATATGTCTTTACCTTTGAAAATGTTGCTGTTGTCATAACGGTTATAGCACCAATTTGAATTCCCCATAATTTTCCACGATAAACTAATCGTTCATAATACATTAACATTTGAAATTTATTTCGAAATGATGGTGATGAACAATTCATCAGACAAATTGTTTGTTGTAGATCATATCGTATAGAATTTAAATGTTTATTGAATAATGATATTGTAAATGATAAAAATATATTGATTATATAATCAATTGCTAATAAATAATATAATATTATTATAATATAATCATCATCACGTATAAATCGTAAACTTTTCAATATAATCTGACTTGATAATATTGTACACATAATACTGATTAGAAATAGTTTAGAATAATATTTTTGACATTCTTCAATAAATATTATCAATCGTTGATATATTGAATAGAAACGAAAAAGATTTCTTTCGATTCTAGTCATCAGAAGAATTTTGCGTTGAATTATTGTTGAATTATTTCCATATTTTTCTCTTTCAATATTGAAAATCATCATTATTGATTGATATTTTTTTAAATGATTAGAAATTCTATGTCTTATCAGTTGAATTGTTTTGAATCCCAATGATATTGTATAGTAGATCAAACATAATGGCATATAAACAATTGAACATAAAAAATAAAATATAATTGCCTGAAGATGTAATGAAATGAATCGTATAATATAATGCCATAATGGATGGTAATCGAATCGATTTGGATTCATTTCAATATAAATTCCAATCATATGTAGTAAAACTATAAATAGAATAGAATTGATTGATGAAATCTTTTCTTTTCAATGATAAAAAAAACAATTTAATAATAATGATAATTTTACTTACAATTGAAAATTATTGCACAACATTGTATTTGAATGAATAATTTACGAAAATTTGCTAAATTTAAACCAATTTTACATTCTTGATAGATAAACAGTATTGCTGTTGATCGTGAATATTTCATTGGATTTTTTTCATATAATTTTTCAATACTAAAATTATCATAAGCTTCAATTGTAAACAATATAAATGTTTGAAATGCTTTGTTATTTTTTATATTCAATGTTTGATAAACACCATAACCAAATAGTATGCCTGTATAACCGAAAAGCCATGCCATATTTTTTCGAAAATGATTCCATAATGGATCAATTTGATCCATATGTGTGATCAATATATCACCCAGAATAAAACTAGCTGTATCAGAATATTGTATTGAATTGATTGAAATATAATAACCACATCCAATAATTGTAATTATAAAACGTAGCTGATCTTTTATTGGCATTAATCTAAAAAAACATTTTTTATTTTGATTATTTTTTGATTTTATTGACAAATAGCTCATATAATAATTATAAATTGATTTATAATATTTTGTTGAATATGAATTCAAATAAATTATGGATAATATTCGATAAAAAACATTCATAAGATGATCCAATGACATTTTTGTTTTTTTGTTTTTGTAATTTTATTCGAAAACAAAAAATTTATTATAATTGCTGGGTAAAACAATCTAACACTGTCATCAAAAATATAATGATTTTAGGAAAGGTTTTTTTTATGGCGAAACTTTTTGTTTTCTTGCTTTTCTCTTGCTAGGATTCACTAATGATCGTTATTCATTCATTTAAGAAAAATTTCATTTGGAATTTTTTTTCTTTCTGTTGAAATTATATTGTCTTAAATTTTATAAATGCCAATTATATTCTGTTGATTTGGTGTTAGTTTTGTTTAATGATTTTAATGTTTTGAAACGATTTTTATCTCATGGAAAAAATTCCAGGAAATTTTTTTTTCAAAAATTTGTACTGGAAAATACACCAATCGAAAAAAAAGTTTTCAAACTGAAGATAATGATGATGATGAATTTAATCGAAAAAATATATGGATTTTCAGCAATTTCAGCAAATTGATTTTTCTTTAACCACAAATAATTCCAACCAATTTGCCAAGTTAAAATCAAGATTCATTTCAGAATAGTTTATTGGCTAGCATTGAAAATCGACCATCAATTGAATTGTTTTGAATCCCAATGAGAATATTAAATATACCCAACTTAATATCATATAAGCAAATGATATTGAAGAATATACTAACATCATCTGAATATGTATTGAAATTAATCTCATAATATAATGCCATAATGGATGACAATCGAATCGATTTGGATTCAATTCAAAATAAAATGCAATAATTTGTAAAATAACTAGAATAGAATATGATTTATTAATATTGTTATAGATTTAATAAATTAATAATTTTACATACAATTAACAGTTATCGTATAACATTGTATTTGAATGAATAATTCACGAAAATTTGATAAATTTAAACCAATTTTTCTTTCCATATAGATAAACAGTATTGCTGTTGATCGGGAATATTTCATTGGATTTTTTTCATATAATTTTTCAATTATTAAATTATCATGATTATCAATTGTAAACAATATAAATGTATAGAATGCTTTGATATTATTTATATTGAATGATTGATAAATACCAAAACTAAACAGTACTGCTGTATAACCGAAAAGCCATGCCATATTTTTTCGGAAATGATTCCATAATGGATCTGTTTGTTTCATATGTGTAATCAATACATCACCCAAAATAAAACTAATTGTATCAGAATATTGTATTGAATTGATTGAAATATAATAACTACATCCAATAATTATCATTATAAAACGTAGCTGATCTTTTACCGGTAATAATGAAAAAACATATTTTTCATTTTCATTATTTTCCCATTTAATTAACATATAGCTTGCATAATAATCATAAATGGTATTATGGAATTTCGTTGAATATGAATTAAAATAAATTATTGATAATATTCGATACAATTTATACATCAAATGATTGAAAGACATTTTTTTGGTAAAATTTTCACTTCTTTTTCACCGAATCATACTGATCGTTTTCAATGAAAAAAAATGAACATTTTTATTGGGAAAAATTTCAAGATTTATTATCTATCTTTTTCGTTACTTAGTAATAATAATGACAAAAAAAAGCAAAAATAAACAATTTACTATTGAATAATATTCATTTTTCATTTAATGATTTTATTTTCTAATTCACTAAGGTTTTTGAAAATGATTTTTTTCTTCATTTTTCATAAATTTTTATGAATTTTAATCAAAATCAAAATCAAAACAAAACAAACGAAGTCGATCATAAACAATTCTTAATCGAAATCTTATTCCGTTGTTATAGATTTTTCTGTTGATGAAATTTCAGAAATTGATTTGCAATATTTATTGATTGATTTTTTTTTACTCTTCATTGAATTAAATTGATTCAGAATAATTTATTTGATAACATAGTAAATCTGGCATTGGCTAACATTAACTGTTTGAAGAAAAAAAAAATATTAATTAATTAATCAGATTTTGAATATCTTTTTACCTTGAAAAATGTTGCCGTAGTCATAATTGTTATGGCACCAATTTTAACTCCCCATAATTTTCTACGTTGAACTAATCGTTCATAATACATTAACATTTGAAATTTATTTCGAAATGATGATGATGATGATGAATTCATTAGCCGAACTGTTTGTTGTAGATCATATCGTATAGAATTTAAATGTTTATTAAATAATGATACTGTAAATGATAATATTATAATGATTATATAATCAATGGCTAATAAATAATATAATATTATTATAATATAATTATCATTACGTATAAATCTTAAAGTTTTCCATATAATCTGACTTGATAATATTGTACACATAATACCGATTAGAAATAGTTTGGAATAATATTTTTGACATTCTTCAGTAAATATTATCAATCGTTGATATATTAATATGAACGGAAAAGATTTCTTTCGATTCGATTTATAAGAAGAATTTTTACATTTTTTTCTTCATTAATATTGTGAATGATCATCATTATTGATCGATATTTTTTCAAATTATTATGAATTCTTTGTCTTATAAATCGAATTGTTTTGAATCCCAATGTTAATATAAAATATACCCAAGAGAATGATATATAAATAAATGATAATAAAAAATAAAATTCGATTACTTGTAAATTTAAAAAAATAAATCTTAGTAAATAATGCCATAATGGATGTGAATCAAATTGATTTGGATTCAATTCAATATAAAGTACGATTATGTGTCCGATAACTATTGAATTGAATCGAATTGATTAATATTTATTATTTTTTTTAGATAATTTTACTTACAATTAATATTTATCGTACACCATTGTATTTGAATGAATAATTTACGAAAATTTGCTAAATTTAAACCAATTTTACATTCTTGATAGATAAAAAATATTGCTGTTGATCGGGAATATTTCATTGGATTTTTTTCATATAATTCTTCTATACTGAAATTATCCTTAGTTTCAATTGTAAACAATATATATGTCTGAAATGCTTTGATATTTTTTGTATCGAATGCTTGATAAATACCATAACCGAATATCACTGCTGTATAACCGAAAAGCCATGCCATATTTTTTCGAAAATGATTCCATAATAATGGATCTGTTTGTTCCATATTTATAATCAATACATCACCCAATATGAAACGTATTGTATCAGAATATTGTATTGAATTGATTGAAATATAATAACTACTGAAAATCATTATTATTATAAAACGTAGCTTATCTTTTAATGGTAATATCGAAAAAATATATCGATTATTTTGATTATTTTTCGATTTAATTAACAAATAGCTTGCATAATAATCATAAATTGTTTTGTAAGATTTTTTTGAATATGAATTCATATAGATTATTGATAATATTTTATACAAAATATTCATAAAATGTTCGAACGACATTTTTATTTTCATTTTTTCATAACAAATTTTTTTCTTCAATGATGATGATACAACATTGTTTTGTAATCATTTTTTTGTAAAATATTTATTATTCTTTATTTCAAAGTTTTTTCAAGTTTTTTTTTTGGTATCGTTACTTAGTAATTTCCAGTCAATAATATTTTTTTTTCTTTTTCTTCTTCTTAATTGAGAATATTTTTTTTTATTTGTTGATCTGTTTGGTTTTGTTTTCAATGTCATTAATTTTATTGAATTTATTGATTTGAAATCATTTATATTTAGTCAACTTTTATTTTGATTTCTATAGTTTTAAATTTTCGTTTTTTTTCTTCATTACACAATTTCTATGAAATTTACAAAAAATTTATTCTATATTCAAACTCAAAAATAGAACAAAAAAACGAAAAGAAAAATGGAAAATCTTTTGTTTTCCAAAACAATAATGATGATGATGATGATTTAACCATAAAAATCGTCAAGGATTTTTTTCAGGTAAATTTATTCGATAATAATGTAAAACGTGCATAGACAATAATGATCTATATTTATGGGAATTTCAAAAAAAAATCAATTAATTTAAAGTTAGAAAAAAAATCAATCAAATTTAATTACTCGTGTAAAAATAGCTTTAGTTAGAACGGTAATTGTACCGATACGTAAACCCCATGGTTTAATATTAATCATACGTTCATATAATGTGAGTAAACAAAATTTTCTTCCAAATTTTCTTATTAAATTTGGTCGATGTACAATACGTTCAATATCCCAACGTATTGAATTAAGTTTTGAATTAAATTTAGAAATAAAATATGTTAACAATATTAATGATGAATATTCCAATAAAAGAAAATAAATTGTTATTATCCATACAATCCATTGATTATTTATTTTAATATTTTTCAAACATAATAATGTTAATTGACTTGCCGTTACATTGATTATTAATGTCCATAATATTAATTTCGATATATAATGTTGACAATTTTCAACAAATATTATTAATCTTGTATACATTTGTAATGATTTACATAGATTTTCATTGATATGATCGAAAATTTTTATCATATTTATATGATTATCATTTATATTTGTTGATGATATTTTTAATGAATAATATTTATCCGATAATGATAATTTTATTAATCGATTTAATTCATTTTGAATATCCGAACGTAATTTTCGTATAGTTTTTAAACATAAATTCATTAAATAAATACTGATTAATAATGGACAATATGCAAATGTAAGTAATGTATTGAATGCAATCCAAACAAATTGTAATAATATAAATCGTATGATTAGCTGCCATAATGGTCGTTGAAAGGAATAATGTTCCAATTCGAATAAAAATGTCATTATATTCAATGTAACTAAGATGTAAAATGAATAGAATTGAAAATTATATTTTCGGAAAATTTCCCGGAAAATTTCTTTTTTACTTACAATGAAATAATATTACCAAACAATAAAAATGATCAAATAATGAACGAAAATGATTAAAATTTAATGAAAATTGTTTAATTATATAATCTATTATTATGGATGATGATGGTGATGGTAATGACGATTGCAATGATGATGATGATGATGGCGAATATTGCCGAAAACTTTCTGAATCATATTTCGAAACAATTTTTTCATCATCATTTTGACGATGAAATTCTTTTGTTAACAAAATAAACGTACGAAATGATTTTGATGATCGTGAATTAAATGTTTGATAAATACCAATCATAAATAATTGTGAACAAAAACCAAAACACATTGCTATATATTTTTCGGATAAATTATAATCATCATTATCATCATTATTATTTGTTGTAACAAAATTTATTGTTACATCACCAAATATAAAACGTATTGTTTCTGAATAATTAATTATATTCAAACTAAATGTTATATAATAAAAAATAATTATTTGAATGATAAAAAATCTAAATTTTTCTTTCCATGGTAATACTGTAAATAAACAATTAGATTCTTTATCTAACATTATAAATTTTGTATGAAAATCATAAATTGATTCATAAAATTTTGTTGAATATGAACAAAGATAAAAATATGAAAATATTTCATATAAATGATGATAAATTTTTCCAGATATAATTTCATTTTTACGAAATTGTAAATATTTAAAAAACAGAATAACAGTGATGATAATTATGATTATGCATAAAATTAAAAAATTACAACAAAAAAAGCAGGAATAAGAATTTTTTACTGGATCCATCGTTGCAAAAAGCTAAATTATCAATGAAAGATTTACTTTGAAACGAAATGATATTTATTTTGTAGAAATTTTTCTCGAAAAATCGATCCAAGATTTATAAACTGTTCACAATGTTGTTGACAATATTTATTTATTACAATCATAAAAAATGAAATAAAAATTTCTATTTTTCAATAAAAATTTAATGTATTTTTGGTTTGTTTTGATAAAAATCTTGTTGAAAATATATTTTTCATTATGTATTTTTGCACTTTTTTCCAAGAAATTTTCCTGAAAAAGAACTGTGATTATTATTATTATTGTTATTATTTACAAGTGAGATTATCATTATCATTATCATTTTTTAAATTTTTTCAAACACGTTATACGTGTAAATTGGTTTTTTTTTCGCTATTTATATGTACACAATCAATAAATGGATTCTCAAATCAATAATTTTTATTGTTTGTTTTTTTTTGTGGGAAATTTTCCGGAAAAAATAATGTAATGTGATGATGATGATGATGATGATGATGATGATGATGAACAATGACTGCGTGTATATTATCAACCACCAGCATTATCAACTTCATGTGATGTATTGCTTAATTTACCCGATAACATTGTAAAACGTATGTATAAAATCAATAGCTAATGATTGAAAATGAAAAATATTACAATTTTAATTTACAAATTTACTAAACTTACTTTTATAAAAACAGCTTTAGTCAATACAGTAATAGGACCAATTTTGATACCAAATGGTTTTTTATTAACTAAACGTTCATAAAATAACATTATTTTAAATTGTGAACGTTTTGATCTAGCCATTTCATTTATACAACAAACAATACGATTCAAATCTTTACAAATTGAATTAAGATTTGCATTAAATTTCGAAACAATATATGATAATAATAAAATAATTATATAATCTAATGTTAGAAAATAATACATAAATATAATGATAACAGTACTATCAGTTGATAAATTTTTTAAACAATTCATTGTTATTTGACTAGCAACAAATGTAACTAATAATGCACATAAAAATAATTTTGATAATACAATTTGTACATTTTCAGTAAAAATAATCAAACCACTATAATCACGTAAATAATTTATTAATTTTAATTCAATATGTTTTGAATATGAATTAATAAATTCTTTTGATTGTTTTGATTTTAATTTGATTATTATTTGATAATTTAATAATAATGTATTTAATTGAAATTTTGATACACGTATAAATGAAAATCCAATTCGTAATAGATAACCAGCAATCATTAATGGTGAATAAATAAATATAAACATAAAATTAAATGCAATATATGATGCTTGTAATAGAATTATATGTATAAATATTTTATCCATTGATTTTGTTTGTAAATATTTTGTTAATTTAAATAATTGTATACAAAGATTTAGTATCACTATAATTTGGAGTTAATGATAATGTATGATTAGTAAACTGAATTTGTGAATTTTATTTTTTTTTTCTCATTCGAAAAAACTTACCATGAAAAAATTGTGCAATACAATAAACACGATTAAAAATGAAACGAAATCTTTGTTGATTTAGATGAATTTTTTTATCAAAATTTTTCAATGTTTGTATTGTTGAAAGTAAAATTGGTTGTGAATTTTGTTGTTGTAAATATTCATAAATTAATGGATGATCATTTTGTGTTATTAATAAAAATGTACGTAAACTAATTGATGACATTGTATTTAATGAATAATAAATTATAATTAAAAACATTAATGTAGCAAAACCGGCTAATAATGATATACTTTTCGATGCAATTGTTGAATCTTCATCAATCAAATAGCTTAGATCACCGAATAAAAATTTTGTTTCCGAATCCAATTCTATTATATTATAACTGGTTGTAATATAATAGATAACCAAATAAATGGATAAACAGAAACAAATTTTCTCTTTAATCGGTATATGAAATAAAATTGGTTTATTTGTAATTAACATTAAATTTGTATAATAATGATAAATTGATTGATGATTATTAGGTGAAAATGAACTAAAATATAATCTTGACATTAGATAATAGATATTATTTAAAAATTTTTCATTATTATAAAAATTTCTTTCAAAAAATATAGCCATTTTTTTGGGTTTTATTTGAGGTTTTGTTTGTTGAAATATGAAAAACAAACTGAAAATGAAGTGTTTTGTGAATCTCAAATCATATCAGTCAGTCAAATTATATAGGACGATTGAATGTTTTTGTTGTTTCTTTCGCAAAAATTTTTTCATATTTAAAAAAAAACAAAAAATTTAAGGTCTTAACGCGTTCGCTACCAGCGACGCATATATGCGTCGTTTATTTGCTGTAGTTCTATGTGTTTTTCAAAACCTCCGGTAGCGAACGCGTTAATTTCTTTTTTTCCTCTCTTTTTTTTCGATTCTTTCATTCATTATTTCATCTTTTGCTTTTTTAATGATCATTATTGACATTTTTTCCGGTGAATTTTCTCCAAACAAAAAAGAAAAATGTGAAATAAAAAATTTTCATAAAGAGAAAAATCGATCAACCAAAAAAAAAAAAGTTTAAAAATTCAATAAATCGATGAACTAATGAAAACAATAGTAATAATAATGATATCTATTGTCAGATGATTATGATTATAAATTAACAGGAAATTCATCTACATAAAATATTGATGATAATGATGATTATCATATTCTTTTTATAAAAATATTTCAAATTTATTTTACAAATTATAAACTGGAGAAGGAAAAAAAGACGGTACTTATGTTTATGATCATCAAGTGCTAAGCAACCTTACAATTATGACAGATAGTGTGTGTGTGTGTGTGTATGGAAAAAATTCAAAATTTGATTAATGGATTCGTTTATTTTTCCCAATTTTTTGTTTTGTTTGTTTTTTTTTGTGTTGAAATTTCCTTATTAATGATGATGATTATGACCATAACCACCATTGCCACAATTATTCAAAACTTTTATAATTACTAATCAACATTAATTTCATTTGATGTATTGATTAATTTAGCCGATAACATTGTAATACGAATATAGGTTATCATTAACTAATAAAGGATGGAGGGATGGAGAGCAAGAAATCATTAAATTGACTAAAGATCAAATAGGTTATATAATATTTTGTACTTACGCGCATAAATACAGCCGTTGTTAGTACAGTAATTTTACCAATTTTTATGCCAAATGGTTTACGATCAACTAAACGTTCATAATAGAATAACATTTTAAATTTGATATGATAATTATTTGAATATTCATTTGTTAATCGTACAATACGTGTCATTTCAAAACGTATTAAATTAATTGTTGAATTAAATTTTGAAACAAAATATGATAATAATATGATTATTAGATAATCAACAATTAAAAAATAATATAAAAATATTAATATAACTGTATTATAATCATAATTTGATAAATCATTTATAAATTTCTTTGTAGTTTGACTGACAATAAATGTAACCAATAATGCATATAATAATAATTTTGATAAAACTGATTGTACATCTTCAACAAATATAATCAAACGGCTATAAATTTGTAAATGTTTATCCAATTTTAATTCAATCTGTTTGAATTGTTTTGATAATAATTGTTTATTATTTGTTGTAAATTTTCTACATTCATAATGACTATTAATCAATTTACGTAACTGTTTAAGTAAATGTTTAGTTGAATGAAATCCAATATGTAATAGATAACCGGCCAATAATAATGGTGAATAAAGATTTAAAAACATAAAATTAAATAATGTATATTGTGTTTGTAAACAAAAAATTCGAATTATTATCTGCCATAATGGCCATATAAAAATGATTGTTGTCATTTTTGCTGTATGCATACATAAATTTAATATCACTATTTTTTTTGTAATAAAAATAAATATTAAGAATTATAAGCAGATAATTTTTAACATTACTTACAATGAAAAAATTGTGCTACACAATAAATATTATTATAAATTGATTTAAATCTATTTGGATTTATTATTTGAACATTATTCATTAAATAATCTATTAATATCATTGATGATTGTGAATAATATTTTGATTGATTTTGATAATTATTATCATCATTGTCATCATCATTCAACATAAACAAAAGAAATGTTCGTAATGAATGTGATGATGATGTATCAAATGAATAATAAATTATTATGAGAAAAATTAACGATGCAAAACCAGCTTGAAATGAAATTGTTCGCTGTAATTGTATATTATCGGTAATATATTTACCAATATCGGAAATCATAAATTTAGTTTCTTCATTCAAATTAAAAATTCTAACACTATTTCCAAGATAATATGCAGTCATTATCATTGTTAAATACCAACATAATTTTTCACGCCATTGTAATGATGACCATAATGGAAATTTATAATCATTTAACATAAATTTTGTATAAAAATGATAAATTGATTTATAATTATTAGGTTTATATGAACAAAAATATAATCGACACATTTGATAATAAAAATTTTCAAATAATTTTTGTTGATTTTCCATTTTTTATAATTTTATTCAATTCTTCAACTATTTTTTTCAAATAAATACTGTCGATGATTAGGTTAGTCAATGATGATAATGTCAATGTTGACATAGATTCAAACTGTTCAACAAAAAAGAAATTTCTTTGGATCGAAAAAAAAAATTTTTTTTGGACGAATTGTGAAAAAATTTTATCATGCTAAATTCCTTTTGAATATTAAAAAAAACGATTCATTTGAAATGCATGTATAAGAATCGATTGTCATTTCCATTTCTTAATGTAAATTTTGTTTTCGTTTTTTATATTTCCTCGCTTGAAATTGCTATGTTACCAAAAATAAAATCCAAAGTGCAAAATATAGATGTCAATTGTATTTCGTCATTTGTTTTTTTTTTGGTTCAATAATATGCGAAAAAAATGTACATATTTAATAGTTTCACGAAAACTTTCCTTTATTTTTTGGGGGATAATAAATCAAAATATTCGAAACGAATATCAAGATCATCATTAGAACAAAGTTAAAAAAAATGGTAAACAATCAATTATTCATAATGATTTTTTTTTCGGGTTGTTTCGACTGATAAAAATGAAATGATCGATCCACATTCATTGATCATCATAAATTCAGTTGTTTTAAATAAATAAAAAAAGTAATAAATTTTTTTTTTATTTGGTATCATTATTGGGCAAAACAAAAACAATGTGGAAGAAAATATTCAATGTTTGTATGATTGACATTTATCTAAATTTATATGATAAAATTGTAAAACGAATATAAAGAATAATAATCTATGGAATTTAAAAAGAGAAAAACAAAAATTAGAATCAGAATTTTTTCATTGATTTAAAACATCATTTACCTTCATAAATACTGATCGTTTCAATACGGTTATCGAACCAATTGATATACCAAATGGTTTTCCACCTAATGATCGTTCATAATAACATGCTAATTGAAATTTAAAACGAAATGTTATCGATTCATTCATCTGTATAATAATCTTATTCAATTCAATATGTATCGAATTTAATTCTACATTTAATTTCGATACAAAATATGTTACAAATATTATTATAATATAATCAAGCATTAGAAAATAAAAAAGAAATATTTGTATTGTCATATGTTGTCTTGATGTTAATAAATGTTCTAAACAATTTAATGTTATTTGACTTGCAACAATTGTTACAATTAATGCTAATAATAATAATTTTGATAAATATTTTTGTACTTCTTCAGCAAATATAATCAAACGAATAAATATTTGTAAAATTTTTTTCAATTCCCATTGTATAACTGTTATTGATGATTGTTTCCATTTCATTTGATCATTATTAGTTATAATCCAATCATAATTATTATTATAATTATTATCATTATTATAATTATCATTATTATCCATTATAATTAAATGATAACGTTTTAATTCATTTTGTATTATTCGGCGACAATATCTAACAACACGAAAACCAATTATAATCAATTCAATAGCAATCATTAATGGTGAATATAATGATGATAGCAGAAATATAAATACAGCAATATTAATTTGCATCATTATAATACGTATAATAATTTGCCAAAATGATTTTTCTTCCGATATATGATCAGTATTGTATTGATGTAAAAATAGATTCAATATGACTATAGATTTTTTGGAAGAAAAAAACTTTTTAAAGAATTCAACAAACAAAATAATCATTAAAAAAGAAATACATACGATGAAATATTTGTGCAAAACAATAAACACGATTAAATATTCGACGAAATTTTAATTTAGTATTTGCAATATTTTTTTCCATATATTTCAAAAGAATTACTGTTGAACGTGAATAATATGATTTCATTTCATCGAAAATATTTTGATCACCACCAATATATAATAAAAATGTACGAAATGCTTTATATTGTTGTGTTTGAAATGATTGATGTATAATTATTAAAAATAATAATGATGTAAAACTTGATAATGTAAGAAAACTTTTCTCAACTGAATGATTACTTTCAATAACAATCATTGTTAAATCACCCATTAAATAACGAAACAAATGATTATCAATATTAAAACCAAATGTTAATGATATATAAAATATAACAATTATCCATGATATTATTATTGATAATTTCATTCGTCTTGGTAATGATAACCATGATGATGAACATTTTGGATCAAGTAACATTAATTTTGAATAATAATGATAAATTGATTCATATTTTTTTGTTGAATATGAACTTAAATAAATTTGACCAAGTATTGAATATAATTGATTTAAATAATGTTCATTACATTTCCATAAACGATTTCGACTTTTATTTAATAATTTTCCAATCATTATTATTGTCATTATAAGCAAAGATTTATTTTTGTTTTCCATTTGGTTTTGGTTTTAGGAACGGGTTTATTCTTTGGTTTTCGAATCAACTTCAAACAAAATGAATAAAATTTCAAATGGAAATTTTTCTTCAAAAACTAATTCTTTTTGTTTTATAGATTTGAAAAAAAAATTTTGGTCGGAGTCCATTCATTCATTCATTTTGTTTTCTTTCTTTTTTTTTGTAAATTTATTCAAGAATTGATAAACGACGAAAGAATTTTATTCAAATGAATTTCTTTTTTCTTCTTCCCAAACGTTGATCACGATAGAATTCAATTTAATTCATTCGGTTGGTTTTCCTTATTACTACAAAACCGAATTTCCATTCGGATCGTTGAATTAATTTTTTTCCCTGCATCAACGAATATCTAAATATATAAAAAAGCATTTGAGAAAAGCATTCTCAAGCCTACAAGTGGCAAAATAGTTTTTTTTCAGTGATTAAATTCCGCATCTGTGTCTGTGTGTGTTTATATTTCCCTCTTTGCTATTTCAATCGATTGATCGTTATATTTGGTGATGACAAAATTCACAAAAACCGGGAACGAAAAAAAGAAAATTCAAAATTGAATAAATAATTTCCGGAAAAATCAACATTGTCGTCGTCTTCATCCTTGATTATCATTGAAAAATATTGATCGACGAAGAATTTTTTTTTCCAAGATTATCATCAAGAACCGAAAGGTCGTGCGTGTGTTTGTAAAACCTGACAAAATCCATTTGTAAAATGAATTTAAATGAAAAACTAAATGTCAATAGGTGATTTCATTGGATTTTTTGTTTACTCAAACCGATTCTAAATCGATTCAAATACAAGTGCACTTTCATTGCATGCAAATTCATTAAATTTTATTTTTAGGATTTTGTTGTTGTTGTTGTTGTTGTGAATTTTAAATTTTTACAAAAAGAAAAAGATATTATAAATAATGTAAAATATAAATACAATTTGAAAAAAACTAAATGATTTTATTGTTGTCGATCCATTACATCCATTATAATCACATGGACAAATTAATTCCGATTGATTTTGATAACAAGAAAAATGATAATCATCATAACCACATTTTCGTATGATTTGTTTTTTATGATCTTTTAATGATGGATAAATTGTTAAACATTGATAATTAACAATATTCACTGACCAATTACATGGTTGAAAATATTTTCGTATATTTGATGATATTGAATTTGTTGGTAAACCATGTGGAATTTTATTTAAACATTCGTAATCGATTGATGAATCACAAATCCAACAATATAAAACATTTGAATCATTTGATTTGATCGTTGAATTACCATCAACAATCTGTAATGATAATATCATTATCGTTATTAGACAAAAACAAATTCGAATCATAGCCATGGATGATGATGATATATTCGATGTAAATTTGTAGTTAATGTTTTTTTTTTAGAAATAAATGACAAACATTATCAACAATTTTTTTTAAATACTCAACTTGGTACGCATTTAATGATAATCTTTATTATCATGTTTTCGGATAATGATAATGATAACGAAAACAAAACAATAAAAACCAAAACAAAATCAAAACAAAAACAAACAAATAAAAAAATGCTAAAAGTTTGTTTTCAAAACATATGATCATTTGTCAATCGTTCGATTAGGTTGAAATAGGCTTTTTTAAAAAAAAAGTAGGCTGGCTTAAAAGATTCAAAATTCCATCATTTTATTTTCATTTTTTTTATCAAAAAAATCATCCAAATCTCATGAATTATGATGATTTTTACCATTTGCAGATGATTTATTTGTTCGAAACATAAAATGAAATACAAGTAATGAATATATAATAAAAAATAGGAAAAAAAATCCCGATATTATCGATACAAATTGATCAGCTTAATGAATGAAAAAGAAAAAAAGAAGAAAAAAAATCAAATTAAATTGAATCAATCAATAACGCAAACCAAAAATTATTTTTCAAACATACCTTCATTCATTGATTGTCCAGATTGTTTAAGGTAAGCAAAATCACCACAATCTAACCATTGATAAAATGATTTTGTTGTTAAAACAAAATATTTTTCATGATCAATAATAGCATTATGTGAAAATATTAATAGATAATCTTTTGATATTAAATATAATTGACCAGTTTTTGAAACTAAAAATCCCGTACGTACATTTGAAAATATTAATCTAGATTGATAATTATCATTACATTCATGAATTGTTGTACCAATTTCCATACGATGTTGATCAATATTTGATTGTTGTACACAGATATTAAAACGATAATTTTCATTTAGATTATTATCTAATAAATAAAATTCATAATTTTCTATAATTAATGTACGATTTTGACAATCATCAACAATAATTTTTTGATATGTTTTATCTTTTTCAGTAAGATTATCATTCAATATTAATCGATCAATTTCAAAATCAAAATGATATGTATGATATAATTTATCTTTTTTTGATTTAAATGTTACAATTAATTCTGATTGATTATTTGAATTATAACATGTATCACCAGCTAAATAAATTGATACTGGTAAACGTTCCATTCTATTAAAATGAATAAATTGATTCATTACTGGCCAAAGATTATGTATTTCACCGTTATTTGATAATAAATCAACTTCAACATCATTAATTAATGAATTTATTGTTGTATTATATGCTAACCATTTATCGGTTATAAATAATAAATAATTATCATGATAATATGGTCCAACAGCAATAATATGATCAATAATTTCCTGTCGTAATTCAAAACAATTTTTCTATGTTTTTTGAGTTTTGGTTATAAAAAAAAAATGTTTAGATACAAAATCGATTTTTTTAAATTACTAATTCATACCGTTGCTGTTTGAATGAAAGCAATTTTGATGAGAAAAATATAAAATGATAAACAAAAAGTTTGCATATTTAAAAATTCTTTTTCTTTCTTTTTTTTTGTCGATTCCTAACCAAATTTTCCTTTGGTAATTTGCCTTATTTTTATATTCGAAAAAATCGAACGATTTTCTTTCGAATTCCAAACAAAAAAATCGAGCGAATTCTCGAATTTCCTCCCATTAAACCTCCACCCTCCTCTCTCTCTCTCCCACGACGACCACCATCATCAATATTTTATTGCCAAAAAATTTATGTATTTGTTGCAATCATCATTGGTGGCATCCGTGATACTTATGTGACTAATCCCCATATCAAAGTCATGAGCATCATTAATTGATAATGTTATTTTTTTTTTGTTTTGCACATTTTCTTTTTTTTTAATATTTGTAAACAACATTTGATACCTGTATACCACTGATATCATCAGACGTAGTTTCCAGATTTTTTTTTAATTATAAATATACGTGCAACTCGTTCAATTAATTAATTTGGTTTTTTGATTTTCTTCAACAGGTCAAACATAAAATGTTTTGAAAATTATGAAATTCAAAATTAATGATTTGGAAAAAAATCCAGTTAATAAATCTGGTTCACAACCGTTGCCGTTACCATCATCATCGATCGTAAATGATGGTAAAGATATTGAATCGAATATAATCGATCAACGTTATTATTTTATCTATATTGTTATATGGTTATGTTTGATCATAATTACAATATCCATTATTATTACTGGTTTGATTTTATTTTTTACAGGTGATAATAAATCACAAAATCTATCAAAATTATCAAATGTTTTTTCATTAAATTTTTAAATAATAATAATAAAAAAAAGATTTTTATAAATGTTTTTAATAAAAAAAAAGTTTTATTTTATTTTAATGCATAAAATTGTTTTCATTTGTATTCAGAGAAAAATATTTTTATAGTACATAGTTTTTATTGCCAATCACGTTGATGATAATCAATAATAGTACGTAATCGTATAATTGCATGTTTTGAATAACATTTAGATTCATCAGCAGTCATACAAATATCATATAAACGTTTAAAAATTTCATTTAAATTTAATGTCATTAAATTTGTATCATTATTATTGAAATTACGATTATGTTCATCGAATAAACGTTTGATTGAATTCAAACCCATTGTATCCATCATTAAATAAAAACAATCCATTTTAAATTCAGATGGCAAAACAATATTATCATAATTATCATTATTATTCAATATGAATGTCATTTTGTTCATCAAATAAATAATTACTTGATTGTCGATCATATTCATTCGATAAAGATGAGCAATTAATTTAATCAATGTAATTGTATAAATTTTCCATTGATTATCATCCATAATAAAATTTGTCTGTTGATTAGATGATGTTTGATGATCAAACATTAAATTTTCCAAATCTTTTACAAAAAAATATGTTACAATACTTCCAAATTTGATCAATCTAAATCTGGAGAATATTATACGAATATTCTGTGAACAGTATTGTGGATTAACAGGTAATTCATCTAAACTTTCTAAAAATTTAGCCAAATTTTGAATACTTTCATCGGGCCAATAATCACGGCCAATTATTTTAAACATTTTTTCGATAATTTTTTCAAAATAATAAAAATCAATACCTAAAGCACGAAATTCAATTGATTTATTATGAATATTTGCCATATTTTTCACTTCAATCATTATACATTCGATAGCCATCAAATGTCTTGACATATCAAAATTATATGGTGGCCGTTGCATCTGTTGTTGTTGTTGTTGTTGTTGTTGATATTTTGTCCGAATAATTGGTGATTGAAAATATGAATTGACATTTTGATTGGTAATTTGCATCGATATCTTAATTAATAACAAAAATTAATTGATTTCAAAAAAAACAAAACAAAATAAAGTTGACTTACTTGTGGTTGCAAAATGAATGGTGGATAAATTGGATGATTATTTGTATTTGTAACCATCGGTTGTTGTTGTTGTTGTTGTTGTTGCAGTTGTTGTCGTTGTTGAAGAGGTTGATGAGGTTGATGAAGATGAATATTATTATTATTATTTGGATGATAATAATGACCGGAATCACCATTCATTGATGTTTCGGAATTGATATTTGATTCTGATCTACGATCAATAGTAATTTCATCATAAACATTTAATGATTTCGAATGGCTAAGAGGACGACTACGACTACGACTACCATCATCATGACTACGACCACGATCACGTCGACGATTACCATCATCATCCTCATCATCATCTTCATTGTTATCATCAATAGAATTTCGATGATTTGAATTCGATGAATAATTATTATGTTGATAATTATTTTTGCGTGTATTATTTGAATTATTTTCATAATCATCGAAAATATTTTCATCACATTCAATACTATCATTGAACATTTCGAAACAATGATCCGATATGATTATTGGTTGTTGTTCAAGAAAACAATAAGTACGAATGGCCATTTTTTCCAATGTTAATCTTGTTTGAATATAATGTTCAAGAATTTTATCATCAATTTGATCATCACATAATTTGGATAAAATTTGATTATACAATTTTCGTGCACGTTTTATCCAAATCCAACGTTGTAAAAGATCATCACCATTCATATCTTTCAATAATTCATCATTATCATCAAGACTCATTCTTTTTATACCCAACAATAAATCTTTATATGCTTTTCGATATTTCATTAACGTGTCGAAATCATCCATTTTGTTCAAAATACAGCCAAAAACAACAACAACAACAAAAAATCAATTTGTCAATTAAATGAAAATTATTTTTTTTTCAAGTTGGAATTTCGTTTTTTTTCTTAATAAAGAAATAAACAAAACAACAGAAACAAATTATATTAACCCAATGTGTGCACGTTAGTTTTCATTTGGAAATGCAGCGGAAAAATTTAATGAAGAACTTAATCGATACAATCGATTATTTCATTATGCTAACTTGAGTTTTATATTTCGAAAAAAATTTTTGTTGATCCATTTCGAAAAATTTTTCAAGTAAAATTTTTATATTTCACAAATTTATTATTGTCAGGAAATTGTCTGAAATGACATTCAATATAAATATAAATCACAGGTAATAAAAAAAGAATAAAATTGTCGTTTTGAAAATTCAATAAAGATGGGGAAGGAAAAAAAATAAATCATTCAAATAAAATCTTTCTTTTTTTGACACTTTTTTTACTGTATGCAGGAACATTGATGATCAAGAATCTGGAGATTTAGTGATAAAAAATCCAATAAAAGCAAACAAAAACATTATCAATAAAAAAGCTACATTAGATTTGGTTGATGTTTCGATCGATTCCGGATTTCTGTGTTTAGATTGAAGGAAAAATGAGAAATTTATTAGGAAATTAATGATTGTTTTTTTTAATCAATTTTCAAAAAAACAGATTTACCCAAATGGTATGGATGAAACATTTAAATGATGAAGATTATTGATCGATGAATCGGATGAATATAATAATAGATAGGCAACACGAATTAATTCATCATTGGTAACAACATAGTAAGTATCTTTTTTCTCTGTAAAACAAACCAAAAAATTAAATATTACCTTTTTTTTTGATTTAAATCAATAAAATTAGGTCTTACTTTTTGCCTCAATATCTGGATGATCAACAATTTCACACATAGCAACACAGCTAAGTTTTTTACCCAAACGTGATCCTTTAAAATTATTCAATCCAAATGGACTGAATAGAATGGCTACTTCAAGTTTTGAACTGAAATAAGTTCCAATACCCAACATATTACGTTTATTTAGGCTATAAATTAAACCATTGTGAAGAATTGAATGAAAATTTTCCATTGGTGAACCATGAAATGCATAAAATGATCCATATTGTGCGGCTAAATCATTAAATTTACGACTACGATAACGATCATCGGGATATGTTACAGCAAACAAATGATTTGGTCGTAATCGATTTCGTTGTTCTTCAAGATTATCTCCAAGAATATCACGTGCCTATTGTAATAAAAAATTGAAAATGTAAATCCAAATCAACAAATCAAAAACCTTTTGATCAATTTCTTCAATTTTAACATGTTTTAGATCGAATGATCCTTGTGATAGAATCCAATGAATCAATTGAACTGTATGACGATTATGACATTGATGATCTGAAAGTGATATTACACGATTTATTGGACCAGATATTGTTTCAAAAACTTTTATCTATTCAAATCAAAATTAAAATAATTTTAATACGAACAAATTCATTCAATTTCACTTACCAATTGATGACGACGAATTTCTTGATGATCATGATCATAATAATCATCGGGATATGGTTTCAGTACTGTTGTTGTTTTTAAACTATACAATGCCGATGCAAACAATGTTAAACGTAAATCATATGATCTATATTTTTTTGGCCATTCATTTGGCAAAAATTGTTCGACAAAAAATTTCTTTAAATTTTCAAATTTTTTCTTCTCACTTCGATCAGATTGTTGATCAGTTTGATTATCATCATCATCATCATCATCATTTTCATCATTCCATTTCAGATGATTGTCATTGAACATTATTAAATATTAATCAAGAATCAAATGTCAAAGAAAAACAAACAAAAAATTCTACTCATCATTTCAAAAGCATCAAATTACAAACAAACAAACAAACATCGGTACAAATTAATCAATTCATTTGATTAATTTTAGAAGAAGAAAAAAAAAACATTCTTTATGAATGTTTATTCATGTTTGTTTCGAATCATAAAAGTCGCCATCTGATGATGAATGAGTGAGCTAATACTGAAAACATTGATCGACATTCATATATCATTTTCAATGATTATTATTTCTATTCACACAAACTTACACGTGTTATTTGAAACTCCATAATAACGATTATATAAATAAGCTTTTATCTTGCCGAAGACGAAGAAGAAGAAAAAAATTGATTATTTGATATCATTCAAATTATCAAATCAAATATTATCAATCGGTCATGTATGCTTTAAAGCCCGTTTATAATTCAATAAGTCCATTCGATTCGAATGTTTTACAAACATCAATGTATCCAATGAAACCATATTATTCGGATATAATGAATAACTTTGCCAATGATCAACAACAATCATCATCATCATTGATGGAGATTATTGATCATTCATCAACCGAACGGTTATCGATACCAAACAATTTAGATTTGGAAAAAGATCCTGATGCATGTATGGCATTGGAAGATTTACTTTCACGACAAATGTTATTATTATGTCGAATAAATGATCTGGAACGAGAATTGATCGATGTGAATGATATTCAAATGAAACAGGAAAAATTTGAATCAAAATTTATTAAAAAATTTACCGAAAATTTTGAAGATATTGTCATTCATTTTGATTTGGATCATCCACCAACAACACTGTTTAAAGTATTGAATTTTTTAATTAAAGATTCACCCGAATTATTTCTAATCAATTATCATGTTCATTCATCATTACTTGATGATTCAATGATCAAACAATTTCATATGAAACAACAAAATTTTGATGCTAAGCTTAAACAAATCAATTTTCATTTCAACACTGTTCAAGATTATAGTGAACGTATGAATCGTAAGATTATCATAACATTTATAGCAAAAAAATTATCCACCCCACAACAACCTGATGATAATCAAATGATAGCTATATTTAAATCTAATCAACCTATCATTAAAGGTGAATTAAATATTCTACATCATTTATATTCGTTGATTTCGGCTAACAATTCTTCTGATGAACAATTATGGAAACTTTTATTATCATCCGATGCTAATTTACAATCCGATCAATTTTGTATTGAAAAATTGGGTCGATTTTTTGTCAATCTTGGTCAACGACAATTTCTTTTCGAACAAAAACAACCACAATTAATCGATATTATTATATGGAGTTTAGCCGATCAATCTCGTGCATTACATTCATTAATGGATGCTAAATGGTATAAAATTATTGAATCAATTTTAAAATGATTATGGTTGATATTTTGATTTTAAATTTTCGAAAAAAAAATCAATCAATAAAAAAAATATTTAATAATCAATTTTATTCATTTGTTGAATGAAAAAAAACATTTGAAACATTTTGTGAAAAAAAAGAATGAATTTTTCGCTTAATTATCATCATTATACATTATATATCAGACAGATTTTTTTTCTTATAGCCAAAATTATTTAACAACAAAATCATTGATGTGAAGGACCATCAAGACGATCATATTCAATTAACATTTCTTTTTGATTTTTGGACCATGTATTTGTATCGAAATAGATATATGAACCACGTTCATAATTAGAACTTTGTTCTAATGGTGGATTACCTTGTTTTCTGGTTATCCAAATTCCTTCATCTTTATGAAACCTCCATTCACGTGAATATCTTTCAATTTTGAAGACAAAAAAAAAATTTCAAATTTAAATATTTTTTTCCAATTACAACTTACAATTCGGCACCAACTTCTGCCTGCATATTTTCACCAGCCAAACAATAGAATAGAAAAAATAATAAATCTTCACAATAACTGGTTAATTTTATCTGAGCTAATTTATCACGTATCGAATTGAATATAAGATATTCCGGTGGTACAGGATAATCTATCGATATAAATTATTATTATTAATTAATAAGCAACATTTATTTAATAATAATTTACCAATTTCATGTGGTTTCAATGGTTTTTCATTCCAAGGACCAGAAAATGTATGATATATTCGTCTAATATTGTTGAAAATAGATAAAAAATTTAAAAAAAAATTTGAAAGATATTAATCGTTATTTACTTACTCTTTATTTTCGAGATTCATATTAAGAGAATTAATATCATAACCGATTGTCAATGCAAATAGATTTGGATTCGATTTTGTTTGATGTAACATTGCCATTAGGCCTGCAATACCATATTGATCGGTTAACATTCCGGGCGATATATTTGTAACCATTCCATCTTTGGAAACATTTATTGCCGGTATTTGATTGTTTGATGATGATGATGTTTTGGCTCCATTATTATTTGCAGAATTCGTTGATTGATGTTGAGATGTTAATGATGAAAATAATGATGATGCTGACATTGAAGCTATATTGGCTGATGCTTGTTGTGTTTGACCAATACCTACTCCCATCGATGGTGGTGTTGTCATCGAACGATTATTTTCCTGATGATGATGATGATGTAAAAGTTGATGATCTTGTTGTTGTTGTTGTTGTTGTTGACCACCAGAATTACTACCATCTAAATTCTGATGCTGTTGTTGTTGTTGCTGAAATTGGCTAAATGCAGCTGCAACAGCTGCTGATGTTGCAGCTGATGTTCCACCAGGTGAAGCACCAGGTAATGCTGGAAAATCTTCACTTTGAATATTAAATTCATTCGATCCGGATTGATTTGTAACATTATCTTTCATTATTCCAACATAAGCAGGACGACCAATCGTTGATGTTTGTTGAGAAAACTGACAAGAAAATTTAAAAAAACAAAAACAAAATCAGATTAAAATTTTTGAGTGATATGCATAAAATAATAAAATAATCATTGTCATCATCATTGTGACAATATGATTAATGTTCAAGTTATTTAAAAAGAAAAATGAAAAAAACATTTACATTTGAATTTGTTTGTCGACTTACCGTATTGATCGATACAGTCTGACCGGTCAATGATGGAAATTCATTTAAATCAAGTGTTGGTGGTGGTGGTCCACCAATTGAACCACCAATACCACCACCAATATGACCACTTCCAATATTTCCAAAAGCATTATGCATCAATAAATTTGTTGCTGTGGATGATGATGATATCGATCCGGATGAAATTAATGATGATTGTCCTCCTGTTAATGTTGTTGATGATTGACGAAATATTGATGATGCTGCTGTTGTTGAAGATGATGATGATGATTGAGAATTAGTGGCTAATGATGATGATGATGATAATGATGAATTTATAGCCGACATTGATGTGGCTGATGATGGTGATGTAGAAGCTGTTACTGTTGATGAATAATCAATCATTTTTGTTTTTTGTTTAATTAGGTGATTGAAAATTTTCCAAACACAATGATTCCGGTAATGCTGAATTTAATTTAGCAAATGTTGTCAATAAATTTTCAATATCGTTTTCACAACGATCAATTAATGATCGTATTTCATCAAATTTTCCAAAATTTTCAACAGTTTTATTTAAACGTCTTTGTTTATCTTGAGAATAATTTTGTGACAATTTTATTGATTGTTGTTCAAATAAACGTATACGTTCGATAATTTTTTGTTGCTCATTAGCAACCGTTTCAGCTGCTTGTTTTAGATTTTGATCAAATAATCTACCAATTTCAACAAATGGTAATACTGATAAACGTGGTTGATTACCAACAGCAGTAACAATAAAATTTGTTGATAATTGTCCAATTGGTATCAATGGTTTTAATAATGGTTCGGATGGTAATTTTGTAAAAATATCTTTACTATTATTTGGATCTTTATTTGGTCCACGATTAACAATAACAATATTCTTTGGAATTGATCGTTGTTGTTCGATTTGAGTTTTAGATGATTGTTGTTGTTGTTGTTGTTGGGCAGTATGAATTGGACTTGAACGTAATGATTGATAATTTGATAACGATTGTTGTTGTTGTTGTTGCGGTTGTCGATGATGAAATTGTTGTTGATGATGATGTGATGTTGATGTTGATGACGACGATCCACTAGTTTTGGTCAGTTGACTTCCCATTAAAGAAATCCAGAATATCAAATTATAATGGCAGGTAATTGACAGATTAATTGTCGTTATTTATTTATTTTTCTGTTTTCGTTTTTTTTTGCGAGTAACAAAAATCAACAAAAGACATTTGAGTAAATATGTGATACGGAGAGAGAGAGAGTAATGAATGAGAGAAATGGGTATTTTCTGTGAAAGAAAAAGAGAGCGAGAAATTTTCCCGGATATACACATGCGAGATAGAAAGAGATTGAGCGAGAGGGTCAAGCACATGCAACAAAAGAATGTTCTCGGAAACTTTTTTCTCATTTAAATTCATTCCTGACCGATGGATGGCGCTTAAATGCGCATTAGAGTTTTTGGATTTTGGATTTCCTATTTTTTTTTGTTTGGATTTTTGAAAATTTCATTTTATTTCATTAAATTAAAAAGAAAAAATTTACACACAATTTAATTGATAAACTTCCCAAATGAATTCGATTAGTTCGAAAAATTTACAAATTAACCACCAAATGGCTAAATGAAATGCTAATAGGCCACCAATATAACCAATATATTGAACCGATGAAATCGATGGTATTTGAATCAATAATTTATCTGGCCGTATAGAACGTCGAATCGTAATCATTGTTTCACCTTGATCTTCATTTTCGATTTCTTTTACTTCCAATTCAACATCCGTTTTTTGACAATCTTTTGGACATTGATGATTACAATCGATGGCTATTTTTTCAATCATTTCATTTTCATTATCATGGCATTTATTATGATTTTGTTCATATTCTTCATTTAATGTATTCGAACAGAATTTATCTTTTATGTGAATTAAATCACGACGTAATGAAACAGATGTTGGAAAACAATGACCACATAAACGACGCCATTTATTCATACAACAACGATTATAACATTCTTGACGTGAAATCATTTGTCGAATATTTAATGATGATGATTTAGATGATCTAGATGATGACCATCGATTTAATAAAATGTTTGATGGTTGATATTGACCACTATAATTATGACAATCAAAAAATTCTTTATCTATTGTTTTACGAAGATTAAAATTTATATTATAAATACGACCCATAGATATTGTTAAAAATTCTTTCAATGAATCTATAGGTATTTCATCTATTTGATGTAGATATAACATTATGGAAGGATTTTCATTATTTTGTGATTGAAAATGATGATGATAATGACCAAATTGATTTGATTGAATTAATATCTGTACATAGAAATCATTATGTTCCAAAATTGGTATCATTAATTGATCATTATTTGAACGAAATAATGTAATTTCACTTAGATATGTATAACAACGATAATTTTGATAATAATTTTCAATTATTGGTGAAATATTGGCACAATATATCATTGATGGTGATGAACGATTTGTTTTTATTTTACATTGATGACCAAATGTTGACATTGATTGATTGAATAACATTGTTAATGGTGTTTGTAAACATTCTATACGATTTTGTTTATCATCATTGGTACCATTATTACCACTGATAATTGAATTCGTATCATCAAAACATCTACTATTAAATGGTATTATAATCGGTATACAAATGGTCAATGCAGGAAATTCAATTTGTTCAGGTAGTTCATACGAAATTGATGTTTGTTTATATTCTCTGTTTAATCGTGGGGGGTGAGAAATTAACATTTTTAGAAAAATTCATTTCAAACATTTTTACACATTACTTTTTATAAATTTTATACAAACGAAAACATTGCCAAAAACATTGTATCATTAACAATATAAATGTTATAAATTGTAACCATTGTTTAATGGTTATCTGTTGTATTAAAAACCAACGTATCATATCGATACGATTACGTGGATACATTTTCATTTTCGATTCTTTTTTTGTTTGTTTAGAATTTTTTTCCAAATCATCACCCGGATGTTTTGAATATTTAACCTGATAGGCAATCGTTGCCGAATCAAATTGTACTTTACGATTATTATTATTATTATTATTATTGTTTATATGATTATTATGATTATCATTTACAGTCAATGATGATGCTGTTGATGATAATGTTGTTGTTGATAATAATGTTGATGAATTTTTTTTCTGAATAAAATTATTAAATTTTGGTTGAATTCGAGGCATTATTTATCTATTATCATAACATTGCGAATGATGAATTTCTATTTCGAATCAAAATTCATTCGTTCGATCGAATGCTCACTGCTATATCCACATTACTATGGATTCGAATGTGGACAACAGAAACAGAATCCGGTAACTAAAAATATCAACAAACAAGCAAACAACAACAACAACAAACGAAATTTTGGTTTGTTCCAAGGCTGAAAAATTATTCCATTTTTGGTTCAGGTAATATATATGGTCATTACATTGTTAATTACTGACGTAATTTTAATTAATTTCTATATTCTTCTTCCTATATTGATATTGTCATTGATACTGAACAGAAAATTCTTATCGTCCTCTTCTTTTTTTTTAATGAACTATAACTTTAATCTATCATTTCATCATTTACAACTATAGATAATCCGTTGATAAATCGTTCAGAGGTAGATGTATTGTATTCAAAGAAGAGAAAGAATTGAAAGAAAAAATGATTTGTATTCATAAAACGTTGTCTATATATACATGTGATGATGGTCATGTTATGTTGGATACAAGTTTATCTATTCTGTAACTACATATTCTGTAATCATCATCATCATTACTAAAACAACAATAATCCCCCCAACAGAAAAAAAATAGAAATATGATCAGATATAAAAATGAAAATTATGGTTATCATCATTAATTAACTCCTCCTATTTTCATTAAAAAAAAAATTTTTTGGTTTTAACAATGGAACTACTAATCATCAAATTCGACTCAACCGACAATCAGATATGACCAATCAAACATGACATTATTAATGACCAATGACCTTATTTTTTATGATTCTATTTTGTTTTGTTTTGTTTTTTGAGTAACAACAACAAAACAATCTTTTATCAACAAAAAAAGAAACATTGAGATAATACTTGTATGTCAATCATGCTCAAAAACATGGAAATGCTTTTCACAGATAATCAACAATAACAAACAAAAACAGAAAATTCTTTGATGACAACCATATATAAAAGTTAATCATTTTGATTGAATTTGATGGATATGAAAGCGAAAAAAAAATGGAAAAAGAAAAAATTTTTATTCAGATAAACATATCAAAGATAAAATGTTTATGTGGTGACTATTTACACACAAATGTAATGAATTTTGAAATTTTTTTTTGGTTGAAATTGAAAAATCAATTTTATCAACAAAAAAAAAAATGTTTTTCAAAATCAAAAAAGCAGATGATTAATTTGATGATCATTGTGAGGGTTATCGTTGCGTGTATACAATTTTATTTTTATGGAAATCATTGATAAAAAATGTGCGTGTTATTAATCCATCAATCAAAAAAAAAATGTGGAAGAATTCAAAATTCTAATAACTTTAAGCTAATCATAAATAATCGATATTGAATGTTGAATATTTACAACGAATCAATCGAATTGATTCTATATGTTTTTTTTTGGTTTTTGGTTTTTTGGCTGGCAATCGAATCATCACCAAAAATAGATTAATAGAGAACCACACCTTGGAATAATGTTGGGTTGGTTTTGTCCGATTGTTGATCGAAATAAAACTTTTTCGGTTTTTTTCTTTCTTCTGTAAATCGACCACCGCCCGTATGGTGAAGCAAAAATATTCGTGATGAGTGTTTGGGTTATAATTGAAAAAAATTCACGAAAAAAAAACAATACTCAATTACAACGATGTTCAATAATACGTTGACGACATAGATCGCATTTAACCTGACAACACCATACAAATTTACAATTACATTTTAAATCAACATCATTTTCGATAGTACGATAACCACGACCACAACAAAGATAACGACAACCATCTAAACCAAGACTGGTTGCATTACAAATACGATCAGTTGTTCCAAATGATCCATGTCTATTTTGATGAAATTTTTTTAAATTTAAAATTTAATAAAATCAGAACAAAAAAAAGTGGATACATACGATGATCCATTATGGAAACAAAAATCAGGTGAATCTTCCAAATAGACTAGATCACGTTTTGAAGGTCTTCGAACATTTTTTTGTGCCGGTTTCAAACGGCTACGTTTTTTTCTACTTTGAACAATTTTAACATGTGTAGCACCATCAAATTTTTGTGCCAATTCTTCACCAACTTCACGAAATGGTTTTAAACGACGCCAACATACTTTAACCGTACATGAACCTGAAATACCATGACATTTGCATACTAATTCCATTTTGGATTTGATAACCTTTGTTTTTTTTATATATGTTTGAATACAGAAAAAGAAATAAAATTTATGTTCATAATTTATGATTTATGATAAAAAAAAGGAAATAAAAATAAATTCAAGGCCAATGAATGAATAGATAAGATATATAAAAAAAACATACCCGTCGTCCAACTTCATTATTATGTAAATTCATAACACCTTCAGATTGATTTGGATCTTCAATTGAATCAATAAAACGACGACTAAATTCTGCACCATAATAGATATCATCCGAACAACCACCCCAATCCCATTTGCCTTGTACATCTTGACTTTTAACTTTATCATCACATCCACATTGGCTTAATTCACCTTTTGTACAGGCACGTGTTACACTATAAACAACGCCAGCCGTTGATATTGCATGGATGAATGCTTTTTCTCGGCTATCTAAACAATCGAACAGCCAAAACAAACAGGGCAAAACAAAATTTCAAATAAAATTCAAATGATAATAATACCCAAGAGAGAAACTTACTGATATCAATAATCGGACCAAATACTGAATCGGCCGAATCCATTGCCGAACAATTCCAACGATTCATTTTAAATTGATATTGACATTCTTCAATACCGAAACGTGCACCACGACTAATCGTATGTAATACATTTGGATGTAATGAACATAATTCCTGTTGTAATGGTGATAAAAAATCTAATTGTGGACATCGTTGTTTAAATGTTGTTGCATTTATTTGTAGATAATGTTTGGCATAATTTTTTCTTGTTCCTAAACGCCTATAAATATAAAGAGAGAGAAAGAAATAAAAATGAAATTTTCCAAAAAAATTTTTAAAAACAAAATTGCAAAATAAAAATTCCGGATGATCATAACACACACGTTCGCACACACGTCAATAATAACAGTAATGGATCCATTTGGATCCAAATGGTCGATGATGATTATCATTATTACTGTCAATGTTATAAATGGTTCGATATTTTTTGATTGTTATTGTAGTCGTGAGTAAAAAATTATGGTTATAATAATAAAAAAAATTATCATTTCTAATAAAAAATTCTATCGGAGTTTTTTTTAATGGTGGCCTACGATAATCTTGGATATTATTTTCAAATCAAATAAAAAAAATTGAAAATTCAAGCAGAAAAAAAATCGAACGATTCGAATCATTCGAATCGAACGTTTGCTTACCACCAATTATATTTTGGTCTTTTTATTGATTCATGATGATTTGGATTTGAATCTTCTTCATTTTGTTGATGATGATGATGATGATTATGATTATGATTATTGTTGTTGGCGTTTAAATCAGAAATCTGATTATTTAATGAATTTTCCAATGTTGATCCAGTTGGAAATATTGATCCATATGATAATGATGATGATGATAATGATTGTTGTGTGGTTGATGATGATATTAATGATGATAATGATGGTGATGTTGTAATCGGTATGTATGATGATGATTTACTCAAACATAAAACTAATGAATAATTATTAATCGATAACAGAATTAATAACGATTTGATGATCATCATTATTATCAAATTCAATGATAATGTTACATTTTTTTGATAAAAATTATTCAATCGATATGATTTCAACATTTTCTGATCAAGAAAAAAACATCATCCGATCTGATCGGTGTCTAAATCTCAAATGACGTTCTCGCGTACGTATGGTGCGAAAAAAAAATCAAATCAAATAATGGTTGGTCGGTTGGTCGTGATTGGTTCCTATCATGATGATTCTGGTGTAACTGGCTGGCTGGCTGGTTGGGGGATTTCGTCTCGTTTCGGGTGTGTTTATAGCGAGTGTAGGGTATTGAAGAAAAAAAATTCTTAAGAAAAAAAAATGAGAATCACATGATGTTATCGTTTTCGTTTTAACACGTCTATAGACTGAATGAATTACCCTTAAAAAAATGGGAAAGGCAAAAAAAAAGTTTTCCATATAAAAATTTAGTAGGTGAATGAATGAATGAATGGCCATAATAATAATAATCAAAGAAAACGTAAAAGAAACAATGATGACGATAAACTGGGAAAAAAAACTTTGAACATTTTTGTTGTTTTTGTTGTTGTGTTTCCTCATAATAATAAAATTTTTATCGCCATCCACGATACGACGAGATTCTGGATCATCCAATAAACAATAATAATAAGAATAATTTGGTCATTTAAACATCATGGTTGAATTGTTTATTGTTATACAAACAACAACAACAACAAATGGCTGTTGGAACATTCAAAGTGAAACATTTATTGTTGTTTATAAATAAATATAAATATCAATTTATCTTGTTACACACACATATAACAAATGTCTATAATTTTATTTTTATTTTTATTTTATTTTATTTTTTTGTTTCGTTTTATGATGTTCATTACATTTTTGGTAAAGAAACCTAAAATTGTACGATTGGGAAATCACATTTATTTTGATTTGATTCACGGAATTGTTTTTCTTGATTTTGTTTTTGTTTTCGTTTTAAATTCTTCTTGTTGTTGTTTCGAATGTATTTCCTGTCTACTTTCTATTCGAATGGTCGAAATAGACAAAAAAACTATTTCGACCAAAATATGAACACTTTGGTGTACACTTTTAATTTCGTTTGATGATTTATAAATCAGAAAAATAAAATTTTCCATAAAATTAAATGTAGAGGAAAAAACAAAAAGACTAACTTAAGGAAACAATTTATGACCATCATCATTATTATTATTATTATGATAATGTAATAAACATTAAAACAGATGTTGTTGTAACAGTCAAAAAAAATTTATGACCCAAAGAAATCTAATTTGTAACTTATGTTTGGTCATTCATTCAATGAATTCCATTTTTTTTGTTCCATTGAATTCATTAATATATAGAGAGAAGTCATTTGTTTTTTTCTGCTTCATTCATTCTCTCAATGGTCATTTCGGTTGTCTTATTATAAATGATGATGATGGTAACAATCAATTTTTTTTGTTGTTTTGTTTCGTTCTGGGCTACATATGGACATTCAATTAGAACAAATTGATTTAACAAATGTCTAATCATTCGTATCGAAACAATTGAACAAAACAGCCAAAGCAGCAGCAGCTGAACAATTTTCTTTCATTTGATAATGAGTCACATGTGTGTGCTAGAACCAGAATTTTACCAGAACCAAATTGACCATTTTTTTCAAAAATATTTCCATTTTAAATATTTTCGACAAAAGATGGCATTAGTAATCAGCGATTATCGTATTAATGAATGGTCCAATGTTATTGAGATTGAAAAAATCAATGTCAGATGTTTTGTTGTTGGAAAAAGCCTAAACACTTTTTTTTCATCATCATTTGGATCAAGAAAACTTAAAATTCTTTGAATTTTTGTTTGACGATAATCATGACCGGATCAAATCTGATTCGTTATGGTTTTAATGCAGCCAAATTGTTTCGTTTAACACAACAACAATCACAATTTATTGCTGTTCGATCATGTAAGTTTTTTTTGTTTGGATTTGATTTTCTTCGAAAAAGATAATTAAATTGATTTGCAGGTGGTTGGGTACGTGATTTTAAACCGGGTCCATATCCACGAACACCTGAAGAACGTGAAGCAGCTGCACGTAAATATAATCTTATACCTGAAGATTATGATTGTTATGAAGAAGGATCTGGTTTTGGTGATTATCCAAAATTACCGGCCGTTTCACATGAAGTAATGGATCCATATGAAAATTATGATTATTATTATCGTCGAAGAAATTTTGGTGAAACGGTTTGTTAAATAATGATTGATCTACTAATATTCAGAAGTAATTATTCTTTTATCTACACACAGTTACATCGTGATTATGATATTCTAATGTCGGAACGAACAAATCCAAATGTTGTTCATCGTTATCCACCGTAAGTTTTTTGTTTATTACTTTCAACTTACTAAAGATTCTCTATATCTAATATTCATTCTTTTTTTTTGTTTAGTCGAACTATGTTTGCTATTTTTCTATCACCATTCATTATAATTGCTATCATTCAATGGATTGATTATTATTTTGATCTACATACGGCTAATCCAATGAAACCGAAACAATTGCCTGGTGATGGTCGTGTACATTATACATTTGAACCACTTGATTGATTGATTTAGGATTAAATAATAATAATAATAAAATCATTTCGTAGATTCATTTTTGTTTATTTTTTTAAAAAATGTAAATGTGAAAAAAATGAATGAAAATTTTGAAAAGAATTGTAATAAAACAAAACAAAAACGAATTTGAGTTTTCAAAAAATAAAAAAAATCAAGGATGTCCATTACTTTCAACCAAACCAGTTGAATGATTAGCATTTGTTGTTTTTTCTGTTTCAATTTCATTCATTTGTAAACCGATTGGATGATTTTTATAATACCAATCAAGAAATCCTTGTCTACCAGTATATGCTAACATATCTGTATGTTTATCAATTGCAACATATTCATCATCCGAAATTAAACGATAATCAAAACGTTTATAATTTGATATATCCATTTTACGAACTGAATAAAGATCACGATGTAATTTTATAATAACTTTACGTAATGGTTTTGTTTTCGATTCTTCAGCCAATTTATCCAAATATTTTTCCATCATTTCCACCTCTAATGTATGACGATCTTTTGGTCGTAAACCACGTGCTAAACGTTGACGATAATCTTCTTCACTATCAAGTATCATTACTTTTTTCGATGGCAATTTATATTCACCCAACAATATTTTCATTAAATATAATAGCTATGATAATGAGAAAAATGAATCAGTAATTTTTTCTACTGAATTACAAAATTACATTACCTGTTGATGATATAATGGTAATGGTAAAACACGATTACTAACAGCAAATAAAGCCATGGATGGATTTTCAATATTAATCAGATGACGATATAAACCATCAATAGTACCATCAGGATTCATTTTGATTCCAACACTTGGATCAACAAATTTTAGATTATAAACATAACCAGTTGCCATTATAATCGTATCCACAGGATATTCAATAAGATTTCCATCTTTATCACGTGCTAACATAGAATTTTCAGTAAATTCTTCAACTTTAACATCAACTTGTTGAACATTTGGATACATATTCTGAAATCTCATCTGTCCATTGTTAACAAATATAACTTCTTTACATTTTCGTGAACATTCCTGTGAAATATCAACACCGGAAAGACCACCACCAATAACAGCAATACGTTCACCAATATAATCTTCTGGTTGACGATAATCATGACTGTGTAACATTTTTCCTTTAAAATTTTTAATCGTATCATATTTTGGCCATTGTGGTACCGAATAACGACCAGTACAAATTAATATGATATCGAATATTTGTTGAAATTCTTGTCGTTTTCGAACATCTTTTACGGTTACTAACCATTCATTATTTTCACGACAAATATACATTATACGATGATTAAACTGATCAAAATTAAAATCAAATTTAATTTTTTTATTTTAACATTTTATCCAATAGGAAAAAAAAATAACTTACATGTATAAAACGATAAAGATCAAATGTTTTAGCATATTGAACAAGATAATTCATAACAACACTATGATGAACATATGAATGATTTGTTTTGGCGGGAAAATCTGGATATCCCATAATTTCCATTGGAAGATTAGTACTAAAAGGAGTTAATGAATGAATTTTTTTTGCTTCGCATTGAGAAAAACTAAAACTTACTGAAGATTTTTATACATTGAACTATGAACCGGTAGACCATCCGGTGTCATACCAACATGTTCAGTAAATTTCCATGTACCACCAATATTATCATCTTGTTCGAATGCAGTCAATTCAAAACAATCTGGTCGCATATTCAAATGTCGTAAAGCACAAAGACCAGCAGCACCAGCACCGATAATGCAAACACGTTGTCGTTGTTGTTGTTGAACATTACCATTGCCATTGGTCATCATTGAATCTCCATTACCTAACCAAAACAAAACAAAAAAAATCGATTCAAATCGAATTCAACAACAACAAAAACATCATACCAATATGATTATTATTAATTTCATCGGAAACCATGATTTATTCAATAAGTTTTTTTTCTGATCTTTTAGTTAGTGATGGATTTGTTAATGAAAATGAAATGATTTTCTTCAAACAAAAAACTATCTGATTTTTATAACGAAATTCGTCATAAATAAATTTTTTCAAATGTAATAATAATTGTATGCTTAGTAGTAATGTGAACAAAAATCAATATAAAAAAAAGTTTCCATTTAATAAAATGTTTATGTTGAAATTCAATTCAATGATTATCAATCATCATCATCATCATCTTGGTGGCCGGACTAATTTTTAACAAACATCCACATCAACAACAATAACAGAAAAATACATAAGATTATTCAATATGACTGGCAAAATCCATCAAGTTTCGTTTAGAAGAAGAAGAAGAAAAAGAAGAAATTTCAAATATCGACTGATCATGATGATGATATTCTCTCTGTCTCTCTCTCTCTCTATAAATCCAAATATGAACATTGATGTGATCGAGAGAGAAAAAAAATATTTATCATCATCATTATCTTTATCGATTCAAATATTTGAATTATTTTTTTTTTTGTAATTTGATAGGATCACGTAGTAGAGAAAAAAAATCGGAAAAGAAAAATTATCTTCTGTTATTGATTTGATGTACAGTGTGTACACACTTTATGATCGTGATGATGATGATGATGATCGTTTTTTTTTTGCTATGTATTGCGAAATTCCAGAAAAAAAGAAAAGAAAACTTGGATACCATCCATTTTTATCTACACACATTTCCATTTATAAATTATCATCGATTTTCAAGATTTTTCTAGGTTTTATTTTCATAATGGGATAGAAATTCTCGAAGTAAATTTCTGTGAATGATAATGAAAGAAAAAAAAGAAAAAGAAAATTCAATTTGACTGATTAAAAAAATTGTTTCATTCAATTTTTACCGTAAAATCAATTGATTAGCACCCAATGATATTCTTTCAAAATAATCCATTTGACGATTAATTTCTAAACAAAATTCATGAAATAATATCGGACATTGACTGTTTGCTTTTGTTGGTAAAAGAAATTTAATTACTTCAAATAATTTTGCTGGACGTGTTTGTGCATTTGCCTTTATAAATGGACTGATTACTTGTTCGATGAAAATTTTCACTTCCTCTTGATCTTCTTTACCATCATCACCGATATTGGATCTTGATTTTTTAAAACTTTCTATCAAACATGATATGATTGTTTGAAACAATGCCATTCTATAGTCTGTTTGCTGTTGATGTTGACCAATTTTAAATTCAGTAATATTTGTACGAAATATTTGCTCTGATAACCGCAATAGATCTTTATGTGATATATGATCCAAACGACAAAATTGATTTAAATATTCATATAAATCTTTTGTAATTGTTTGTTCACGTTGCACCAGAAGAAATGTTGATTTCAAAATCAAAATTATTTGCAGATGCCAATTTTCGTACACTTTTGATCCACGATTAGATATCAATGTCTTTGATTGGTAAAAAAAAATCAAGCTAATTAAAAGAAGAAATTAAATAAAAAACACTTACTTTTATGGATGTATAGTTAAGATATTGGCTAATCATTGGTAAATATATTAAAATTAATTGACGAATTTTTCGATTTAGATATGGATCATTTGGATCTAATTGTACAAGACCTTCAAAAATCATTGGAAATGATTGACGAAATAATGAAGGCCATAATGATTTTATTTGTAATAAAAATTGACAATTTGTTGGTAGAATGATTATATTTTCCAATATGGTAACAAGAAGACAATCTGATTTACCAACAATATATATTTGTTGTGATAATCGTGATATTAATTCGGCTATCGATCGATATATTCGTGTTAATAATCGTACATCTTTTGGTGGTAGATTAATGAAATGAATATTTTTTGTCATAGCACTATATCGTCGACTAATAGTTGTTAAAATTTGTTGTGATTTTATAATCATCGAACGAAAATATTGATCAACATTATTCATATGTTTAATACGTTCGGAATTTGATGTGACCAATCCAAAACGATCGTATAAAATTGATAGAAATTTTTCGAAAATTATTCCATTATCCAACAGGACAATAGAATCGGATTCAAACCAACGATAAATTCGACGAGAAATTATTAATAATTTTTCATATTTTCTTTGATCTGTATCACAATCATTTTGATCATTATCATCGATAATGATTAAAAGTTTTGACCATATTGATATAAATTTTTTGACTAAATTATCATGATTATCGATTGATTCAAAAATATCCTTTAAATAATTATCCTTGAATAAAAGATAAAGATAATTTAGATGAAATAAATCGATACTGTTGGAACATTTTCCATGATGATGATGCAATGAATCTTGACCTTGAAACGATAGAAATAAATCAATAATATTCAGACTTTGATGTTGTCTGTTGTTGTTGTTGTTGTTATTCCTAGAAGAAAAATTGATTAAAGGGGAAAAATGATCATCAATCAAGATTAAATATGAATTATTTTTTTAATTTAATATGGAAAATCTGATGACGCAAATTGTTATTTTTTTCAAAAAAAGTAAATATTTTTTTGCACTTACATTATTATTATGTTTATAATTGTAATTTTCAAGGTAATATAAGCAACGATTTCATCCGGTTCATCTTCATTATCATCATTTTGGCTAGCAATCAATTCCAATTTTATCATTTCAATCAATAATTCGATCAACGATTGAATTATATTATCAAATGATGATGATAATAAATGATCATTATCAATGTTTACAACGTTATCTGTCGGTGATGATGATTGATGTTCATCAATTTGTTGTTGTTGTTGACGTTGACGTTTAACAATAATTTTATCATAAAAAATATTAAGTAATTTTTTAAAAAATTCCATCACTATCAAACGATCAGATCGATCGGTTTCGAATGATAAAAATTGTTGATACATTTTGATTAGTTCAATTTTCCCGATCAAATCATCATAATAAAGATGAAAAAATTGTTGAAAACATTTCGTTAGTAAATTATTCAATTCATTAAAATAATTATTAATAATTTTAAGGAAATCTTTTTTCGGATCAATCAATCGAATATTTTCCAATAAAATACCATTCATATAACGATTTAAAATTGAAACAATTTTATGATTTTGTTCATTACCAATAGTAGTAGCCGATTTCAGATGTAATATAGCGAAATAAAATTTCAATAAAATTTCTTGAAAATCAATGGTTCGTTTTTCTTTCAATAATTCTTTGATTGGATTCAATAATCGATCATTATGTTCTAGCCATCGTTCCGTGGGTAATGAATCGATCAATATCAGATATAATTGACCAATTCGATAGAAACCATTTGGTTGTATTGATCGTATGAAATTTGGTTGTAATGTAACAACAATTTTACTGACAATTTTCTGATAATTCATCATCGTTATTCGTTCAATTTGTTGATTTTTCATACGATTTGTTCGCTGTTGTTGTTGAATTTTTTTCATTTGTTGATGAAAATAAAATAAAAATATTTTAAAACAATCATTATTCTGGTAAATATCTTCCGGTGATTCAATTATTTCCTGAATTTTTTCCGACCATTTTTGTCCATCTTTAATGGTCATTATCATATCATTATCGATTAGATTTACATTTGATTGTAATGAAAATTTATAATTATATCTTTTAAGAAAAAAATCCATAAATAAAATGACTAAATCGATTGATGGATCCGAAATAAAACAACCATAACGTATTGCACAAATAATTAATGAAGGAATCAGGCGACATTTACCCAATAAATTCGTCGATTTAATCGATGGATATTGACAATCGATTTCACGTAAAATTGTTCGATAAATTTTCAGAATATTTGCCGGTAAATCGAATCGAATTTCTTTATAAGTGAGATTCAAATCGATAGCTAATAATGGTACCATATTTGACCATAACCAAAGACTATATTGATTAAATTCTTTTACAAAATATTTTGCCAATGAAATTGATCGAAAATGATCGATTTGTATTTCATTACGATCGGTTACAATTATTTTATCTTGATTTTTCGAATCAAAATAAGCCAAAACATTGAAAAATATTGATTGAAATTGATCATCATTGCTGTTATTATTATTATTTAACATGAATTTTAACAATAAAATCGTTTCTTGAAAACATGTACAAATAAATGGAGTAAATGTTGAATCCGGTTGTATATAACAAGAATAATCATTATCATTTTGAATATTTTGTTGAAATCTTTCCACACTAAAACACAGAATATCATATAAAATTATTCGTAAACATTGTATGAATAAATCATCATTAGCTTGATCATTGTTCAGCAATAGATTAAATTCGGAAAAGATTCGATGATAAAATTTATTTGATTGACGTTTTAAAGCGTACAACATTTCCAAATATGTTAACCATATTTGTAATGTTAAATGAAAATGATGATAAAAACAACCATCAGCGTCGGATTTACGATGAAAACTAAATTCTTGAAATTTTGTTTCAAATTGTGATAATCGACCAATAAATAGTAAAAGTTTTCGCATTTCTTTCAATATGAAAAAACATTTACTATTTTCTGGATTCGAATCATGAACATCATCGTGGATGATCATCATGAAAAATCTTTTAAGAAAATCCAGACAATCTATGATTGGTTGACAATATTGTTGAAAAAAATCGATATTAACATTGAATTCATGATTACAATCTTCTAATGTGGCTGAACGTATTAGATTGAAATTTTTTCTAATAAACATAAACAACGGTAGTAAATGTCGATCTTGATTCACTTGATCGATATAAGGAATTCGTACAAATCTAAAAAATATCCAAGTTTGTTTTTGTTTTTTTATCGAACAACAATATTCACGATCATTTTGTATTATTAATCGTCGAAAATAATCAGAACGAACATAGTGAAATGTATTTGATAGTTGTTGGGCAAATGTTTCCAATGTTAAACGATTTATGGAACATTGTTCCATCAAACGAAACATTGAACAAAATTTTATATTTAATTGTGGATCACAATGTAGATAATTTTCCATTTTTTTTTTTAATTTTGTTTAAAAAATAGAATAAAATCCTGCAAAACAATTCGAATCCAAAACGCGCCAAACTCAAATCATATGCAAAACTATTTTGATTCAACAATGATTTTGATGTGAAAATAGATTCACAGCGCAAACGCAATTCGGCTGTCAGATTCCAATTTAAAAGGATTTTTTCCATTGAAATTTTATTTTACATTTAATTTAAAAAAAATACAAATAACAAAATGAATAAGCAAATTCAATTCCACCAATCTATAGGTCCTAATAAATCTTGTTTAAATGTAGCCATTGTAATCATTGGTTCAATGACTCGTTGTTGATTAAGTAGATTGAATCGATTAAATCGTGTTTTTAATATTTTAAATCTTGCATCTTCTTTCGAATTGATACTGAAATAATGTTCATCGATACCAATTTTTTTGATCCATACCCAACGGCGACCATTATGTTCAAATTTTGATGGATTAGGTAAATAATTAGCATCGATAGCTAATGATTTATAAAAATTTAAACTTAATGTTACACCTTGTGGTGTACATTCCTGAATTTTACCGATCATTGTTTCACCTTCGATCAAATTGAATACCATACATTGAAAACGACAATTAACAAATAAATCTGATTTGTTCATTATGGCCGAAAGTATTTCATAACCTTTTATTGATGTTACAATAATAAACAGGCCAGCATTATAGATTACTTTGTTGTACATACATCGATTCAATAATAATAATAACAAATCATGCATATCAACATGTGGACTAAAATATTTACATGGTATACAAATTCGTTTGGTTAATTCGATTATCTGGAACATTATTATCAAAAAAAAAAATCAATGGATTTGATTGAAAAAAAACCCAAACAAAATCGAATACAAATTCTCATGTGGTCATATCCAACCATTTCCACACAAATGTGCAACAAAACATTCAAAATAGTCATTAAAAAGAATAAAAAATTTTAAATTTTATTTTCATTATAATCAAGGATTATACCAATCCAAAAATAAAACAACAAATGCAAGTGTTGTAATAAAAAATAATATCCAAACACGAAATCCAGCATTTTTACGCATTGCTTCACGTAATTGTTCATTACCTTCACGTATTGATTCATTCGATGTTATTGTTGAAAGATTTAAATTATTTAAATCACATTCTTGTTTGATAACATTTTCTGAAAATAATTCTTGTAATTTAGATATTTCGGCTAATTTTTTTGTTATTGTTATTACTTCTTCATTCATTGAATTCATTTGATCATAAATTTGTTTACTTTCAAGTTGAAATTGTTTTTGTTCTTCGGGTGCTAAACGACAATTATTCATTGATTCATTATTCGATGATAATAATTGTTCATTATGATAATCATTATAAAATGATGTTTTCGAATTCAGATTCTCAGAAGATTTCAAAGTATTATTGTTTGTTTCGGATGATTTTTGATTTTTTCTCAACTTGATTGTTGTTTTGTTAGCGGCCTGATTTTCGGTTGATGTTGATAATCCATCAATACCATCAGTTTTATTATTATTATTGTTGTTGTTGTTGACATTCGATTTATTGAGCCGAAAAAATTTTTGCATATAAAGATTTCTTCGTAAACGTAATGCTTTATTCTTATTATGTAAATCGTTGATTGATTGCAGATACATTTCGACCAAATTGATTGCATTCATTTCATGTTCGAATTGTTGTTTGGAAGTTGTTGATTTCACTGACCATTGAATTAAAAAAGGACGATCAAATTTATCATCAACACAAAGTATTTTTATTATTATATTACTCACATTCGACACGTAATATTTTGATTACATCATTTCCTAATTTAACAAAATCATGAACATCTTTATCAATTTGATCACGTTCTTCATCGGTCATTTTCGATGATAAATATAGTATTGAATTGCTAAGAAAAAGATTGATGAATCAAAAGTAAACAAGACATAGATTTTAACTTACTAAATGTTAACATAATCTTTTTGATTGGCCAATAGATAATCTTTCATACAGGTAATCGATGCAACTAGTTCACGAAGTTTCCATGAAATTTGTCGACTTTTATCTTCATTTCTTAGTCCATTGCATACGACAGAATTTGAATGATTGCCAATCGTATGGACAATTTGTTGAAAACATTTTGTTTGATCCATTTTTTTTTTGTTCAAAAATTTATGATCAAAATGAACGATCATCGAAAAAGAATACGTACACATTTCATTTGATGAGAAAGTTTCCAGCAACAACAAAATTGTTTATTTTTTTCATCAGAAAAATTTCCAGAAATTCAATTTTAAAATTTTGATTTTCAGAACAAATTATTATGTTCTATGTTTATTATTACATTTTAAAGAATATCTTTTCATTTCTTTTCGAAATAAACGTATAAATAGAAAAACATAGATAATATACATGATAAGACCTGATTCAATAGTATAACCACCATTTGAACAATGGTCATCTGATCGAATCAATTTTTCATATAATGCTAATAAATTGATAATTAAACCGATAAACATTTGTGATGTTTGTAAAATGGTTACAGTGATGGCAATAAAACTAGGCAGACGTATTCGACAACTTCGTATGAAATAATAACCATACATTAATGAATGAATGGTTACATTCATTGTGCTCATCCATCGTCCAATTGCCGGCAGATAAACAGCAATATACCATGAATAAATCATTGTTAATACATGATGAAACCAATGTATAAATCTTACATGTTTTTGGCTGGCCAATAAAAACATTGTATCACCCATTTCGAATACTTTTGAGCTTACAAACAAAAAATACCAATAATAAACTCGACGATCATGATGATAATCACGATCACAATAAGTAGCTCGAAATCCATGTTGATAAATTTTATCGAAAAAATTCCAACCCAAACGATAGGTGGCCGATATGGAAAAAATTGTTAATGTAAAATTCCATAACTGTAGATATTTGGTACATTTCATGGGTTTTTGTATTCTGTTCGGCAGCCAAACAATCAAAAAAACGTAAATAAAGGCAATTGGTATCGAAATAGTCCAATATGATTGAAACCATTCGGTTTCAAGAAATGGTATTCGATCATCAAATCGAATCATCAATGCAAAGATAATAATGATAAATAAATAACCTTTAATCATGGTTGATGGATGGTGTTATTCTTTGATCACTTTCATTAATGATTGATGATTGGTACAAACAAACAAACGAATATTGATGAAATCTTTGAAAAAGACTTTAACCAAATTAAAGATCGATAAAGAATGATTGTACGAGGAAAACATTTATTTTGTTAAATTGTTTTTTTGTTTCGAAGAAAATTAAAAAAAAGAAAGAAAAACAATGGATGGCATTGAACAAAAATAATAAAAATCAATAATCAATTTTCCAGTTAATCAGGAAATCAATTTACACAATTTTGGTCGGTTTTTTTTCAAAAAAAAGAAAGGAAAAACTTAACTTATTTAAGGGTTAATAATGATGAATTGTTTTTCATGTTGTTTTAGTAAATCCAACAACTTTTTGTGCAGCATCATCTAAATTTTTAGCCGATATAATATCCGGTACGGTATTAATTAGATTAATAGCCTGTTCAGCATTTGTACCTTCTAATCGTACAACTAATGGTACTGTTACTTGATTTTTAGCTGCAATTAATCCTTTAGCAATTGTTTCACAATTAACAATACCACCAAATATATTGACTAAAACGGCTTTAACTTTTTTATCGGTCATAATTAATTTGAATGCACTTTCAACACCAGCCTGATTAACCGAACCGCCAACATCAAGAAAATTAGCCGGACTACCACCATAACGATGTATAATATCCATTGTAGCCATTGCTAAACCGGCTCCATTAACCAAACAAGCAATATTACCATCCATTGGTACAAAATTCAGATTTGATTCACGAGCTAATCGATCACGTGGATCTTCTTCCGAAGAATTTTCTTCCATAATTTGTTTCATCCATTCATGACGAAACATTGCATTTTCATCGAAATTCATTTTAGCATCAAAACAAATTACCTGATTCTGTGTGGTAATACCCAAAGGATTGATTTCAATTTGTAATGCATCCAGCTTTAAAAACATTCGATATAAATGTGATATTTCAGTTGCAGCATCTTCTTTAAGTTTACCATCTAATCCAAGACCTTCGCCAGCAATTCTTAATGCTAATTGTCTTTCTAAATCTTTTGAATTTTCACTGATTGAAATTGGAAATTTATGAACAGCTGTTGGATTTGTTTCGGCTACTTTTTCAATATCCATACCACCTTCAGGTGATGCAACAATAATAGGACCACCACTAGCACGATCCAATAATATTGCCAGATAAAGTTCTTTTTTAATATCAATAGCTTCAGCAATCATTACTTTTTTAACAAGAATACCATCTTTTGTTGTTTGTGCAGTAATAAGATAATCATCAAGCATTGCTTTAACAATTGATTCAATTTCGGTTTTATTTTTAGTCAATTTAACACCACCTTTAAAACCGGAATTTTTAAAATAACCTTTACCACGACCACCGGCCAATACTTGTGCTTTGATTACATATTCATTTGCTTTTAATGTTGGATCATCAATAATATTTTTCACTTGATCAATATCGGATACTATACGAAATTTTTGTATTTGTAATCCATTTTTTTCCATTAATTGTTTACTTTGATATTCTTGTAGATTAATATAACGTTTGGATAGACAATTATAGGCCACAGCAGATGTTGTTGGTGTCAAAACATCACGTATAAATGATGGTAACAAAACCCCACCATTTAATGCTTTACGTAACAACATTGTGTTCAAATTTTCGATATATTTTTCTTATTTCAAAAAACCAAAAAATTAAGAAGAAAATTAACAATATGGGTACAACAAACTCACAAAAACTCAATTCGAATGTATTGAATGTGTGGTGTATTATCATCAAAAAACAAACAAACAAACAATTTATCAGTCAAATCTGTATTATAATAAACGTTTGCTTCTTTTTTACAAAATCAACACCATCATCAAATAAAACATATGGACCTAAAAATGAAAATGAAAAATGAAACTTTATTTTTTTTTTTGATATTTTTCACCACTAGATGGTGACAATCGTTGAATTCTAATGAATTTAACATGACATTTTCAACATGACATGATTCAATTCATACGGCCAAGACAAGAATGTATTGAATTGAATTGAAATGAATCAAACTGAATTTCATTGCTGTTGCTGCAACATCATTCGACGAAGCATCATTCGACAAAGTAACTAAAAAAATGATGACTTTGAATTGAATTGTGATATCATCATCATTTCATAAACAATATTTGCCTTCTCATCATCATTTCCAGTATTTTTAGTACACTTCTCTTTCGATTTTTGTATTTTTTCTTGTATTTTTTTTTCACAGATCAACTTCGAATGTGAGCACATTCTAAAAAAAATCATTTCTTCATAATTTAATTATAATTCATTTCGCTCGAACTTATAAATTGCTTCGAACATTGTTTGTTTTTTCATCATTATTATTGAATTTAATTTTTTATGATTTGTTTTTTTCTGTCGAATTAAAAAACAATGTCGAAATTATTATTCATTATCAATTGTATCGTTAAAAAAAAGGCAACGATTCTATTTTCAATCATGTATGCTTATGCTATTGCCTGACGATTACTTCAACGATATTCTTCCATTCTCCCGTTTTTTTTTGAAAGTCATCAATATTGACTTATCTTCATCAAGATCAATAAATAGAAAACCCTGAATAATTTTAATCATCGTTTAAAATATTTGTTTCGATCAATCATTCGATTTATTCGTTATAATTTTAATCGAATTATTTGTTTTTCTAGAATAATGAAATCAATCGATAATAATGAAACAAAAAAACCATTATTACGATTTGGTGTTATTGCCGATGTACAATATGCTGATAATGATGATAAACAAGCTTGGTATAATCCAACTAAAACAAGATTCTATCGTAATTCATTGAAACAAGTAAGAAAAGCATTCGAATATTGGGAATCGTTTGGACGTTCGAATGATGATGTTAATGATAATAATGATGATAATGTTAATGATCATTGTCCTATTAGTTTTATTCTTCAATTAGGTGATATTATCGATGCCTTAAGTAAAACAAAATGTAGTCATTCAGCTATTGATCGTACATTGAATTGTTTTTTGGATAATACAAAAATGCCTACATTTCATACGGTTGGTAATCATGAACTTTATAATTTTAATCGTACAGAACTTTGTCATTTATTCGATAAATATCTTTTCCATCATAATGTACATGAAAATTTAAATATTTTACATCCAAAAGAAATGAACGATTCAAAAACATTATTTTATCGATTTAAACCTCGACCTGGTATTAAATTTATATCATTAGATACATATGATATATCAGTATTAGGATATGATCGAAATCATCCAAAATATCAAATAGCAGCAAATATATTACGATCATATCATCATTGTGATGATTTAAATGTTTGGGATAGTGATAAAAATCTTAAAAATGATATGGATAAACGATTTCAATCATCAAATGGTGGATTAAGTTTTGAACAATTACAATGGTTAGATAATGAACTAATCGAATCCGATTTATTAAATGAAATGGTCATTGTATTTGGTCATGTTGGTTTACATCCAAAATCATGTGGTTGGGATTCAATACTATGGAATTATGATCAAGTTATTGATTGTTTTAATCAACATAATTCAGTTATTGCTTATTTTAATGGTCATGCACATAATAGTGGTTATACATATGATAATAATATTCATTATATTGTTTTACATGGTATTATTGAAACACCACCTGATAATGAAGCATTCACTACTGTTACCATTTATAATGATCATATGCTGATTGATGGTATGGGTGTTGAACAAAAAATTCTTGCCACTTATCATAAACAATTTGATTTTGAACAAAATAATCATTCGATTCATCGAATGTCTATTTCATCGAACATTGATGAAATGGATATACCTACATCGAATACAATCAAAATACAAGTCTAATGTTTTTCAATTTGATTATATAAATTATTTTAAAAATTTTTCAAAATGATTTATTTTTTCTTCTGAATATAATAATAATAATAATAATAAAATTATCATTTGTTGTTTGATTGTTGTTCTTGTTGTTTTTCTTGTTGTTGTTGTTGTTGCGCTGTTGTCATTGCCGTCGTTAACCATTTCATATAAAATGGTAATTTTGATATTTTTTTCTTTATTCGTTTTGTTTTTCGTAAACGTCGTTGTTGTTGTTGTTGTCGATGACGACGTGGTTGTCTACCACGCATTCGTTGCCAATTATTACGATCATATTTTTTCGATTCGATTAATGAACGATATTCAAGACCTGAATGACCAAAATCCGGTGATGAACCATATCCACCACTTTTAAAAGGGGAAAAATTTGATTAGATTTTAATCAATTTATAATAATTTCTACTTACTAAATTGATGATGAACCTAATGATGGTAAAGGATGTGGTTGAGGTGGCGGTGGAGGTGGTGGTGGTGGTCTTGAACCAGCTTTTTGATTACCATATTCACTACCGATAAGAAAACCGACAAGAAAACCTTCAAGAAATTTCTTTTTCCGCACTAATTTAAATACAGAACATTCAATTTGATGTTGAGGAATATTTAGAATTGATATTAATAATAATAATAATAATACAATGATTAAACATTGATGGCTATTTGAACGTAAAAAATTCGAGGCCAACATTATGTTCACTAGCACAAAAATCAAATATTGATGATGATGATGAAGATGAGATTAGTGATGATGATGATGAAAAATATTATTTCTTATGAAATAACCAGAAGAAGAAGAAAAAAACTTGTTGTTCGTTTGTCGTCGATCATGACGTTTGATTGATCGAATAATGTTTTTTTGAATTTAGATCGATACATTCGAATCGGTTGATTGGACGAGACATAGATTTTATCATTTCAAACAAACAAAAAAAAACTAGTTGGTCGTTGTATTCGTAGATTTGAAGATTGTTTAATTATTATTATGATTATGATTCATTCAATTAAATTGATCAATATAGAGAGAGGGAGAGAGTATATGAATGTCTATAAATAGAGCCAGGTATTGTTTGTTTTGGTTTTGTTCATAACCAATGATTATTTCATTGACAAACACATTTTCACTTTAAACAATACCTTATCGAATTCTTTTTTGTTGATAATGATCAATTGACATTTTCATCCGAAAACGTTTCTGAATTCGAATCATCATCACATAGGACATCCATTTTAAGAAAAAGATCCGGATAAATGAACATATCTTCCAATAGATTATTTGATTCGCTTGAGCTAGATTGTGCACGTACCATACTTAACCATTTATTATTATGTGCATTAAATTTTTCCGAACATATACGTTTGGCTAAATTATTGGCTTGTTCACTATCACAATTATCGGCCAATAAATCCAATGTAAAATTACATAATGTTTTTATACGATAATTTTTATCATACATTAATTCAATAAGATAATCAGTTAGTTTATTATTTTGACATAATTCCACTATTTTTTGATCATTATCGATTTGTTTGATTAGTACATAAAGACAATAAATAGCATTCGATATTATTTGATCATTTTCTTGATTTAAATTTATTATATTTAATAGATGATCAATCCACTGATGATCGATAAGATAATTGACCAATTCTGTATCGTTATTAGATGATGGTGATGATGTAATAATAGCTTTGGCCACCATATTCAATAAATAACTTAAAAATTCAGATTGTTTTGTTTTTTTATCTGTAATACGATAATTTTTAATAAAATCAATAAATGAATATTTTTCCAATAAACGTATCCAATGACCAATGTCGATAACGGGAGCAAGATTAGTTAAAATAGCCAAACATTCAATCTGTATTTCCAGTAACATATTATTATTCGATTGTTTTATCATTTCGAATAAACTGTTTATTGTTGTTGAATCAAATTTTATATTATCATTCTGATGACAAGTAATATTACGACATAATTGATAAAGATGAATATTATTATCAACAATTGCTGAATTGATTAATTCATGAAAACGATTTTTATTCTTATTATTTATCACCATCATTGATGCTAAATCTTCATTTATAGCCAAATTTGTTAATAATCGAATGATAATTGGTTTATAATCAATATTGATGAATATTTTTTCCATTAACAAATCAATCATTTGTTCATTTTGTTTGAATATTGGTATGAATTTTGTTTCACAACTAATCAAATAAAATATTGAAACAATAACAGATGTATAATGATCTTTAAGAAAAAATGATATTAATTTTGGTACAATACCCGAACGAACTAAATATAAACGAATATCTCTATCAATCATTAAATTATATAATAATTTTAAAGTATTGATAATAAGTAATTCATTATCCAAATACAATAATGGTGTTAAATTTTTATAAATGGATAATTCTTTGATTTGAATTTTATCCTCAATGAAAACGGATAATTTTTTCAAAAATAATATTACAATCAAAAGCAATTCTTGATTATTACGTTCAAGTAATTTGCCCAATATTGATACAATTCCTTTTTGATGAATTTTATATTCTAATTTTATATCTTCACTGATGTTTAACAATATGTATAATGAATAACGGAAAAAAATATTTTGCTTATTAATCAATGATTGATGTGAATACGAAAGACGTTCATAATCATTACGTTCATCATCCTTATCACCATCATCATTATCATTATGATTGTCAAGATTTTCACGAGTTTTCATCAATTCTTTTAACCATGATTCTTGTCGAAGCATTTCATAATAAATCAATTCCAAACATGTTGAACCAACTTTATACTAAAATAATCGATAAAGAAGATTAATCAATTTCATTTTAAAATCCAAAAAAAACTTACATTTGTAATGGCAAAATGAAAATCCGAATATTTACTAAAATGACCAAATATACAGGCAATACAAATTGAAAGTTCAAGAGATTTTTTTCCATCTTCACGAAATACTCGACTTAATGCACATAATAATGTATCATTTTTACAAAGATTTTCAATCATACAATCAACCTGTGATAATGATTTCAATATAAGATAGGCACCTTTAATTTTATCATCAAGTTCTTCATATAAAAATTCAATATAACTATCCAAATCTTTTATCGATATAATTGATATTGGAATTATTGAATCCAAATGTTCAATAACATCAGACGAAAGATTAAAACTAAGAAAATTATATGTTGATAATGGAAGTGAATCATATGATGCGGGTGTTATTGAACATTTTCTATCCAATTCAATCAGTTGACCAACCAATTCATAATAATGAATATAAGGTATCACATGACTTTTTCTTAGAATTTTTCGAGCAATTTTTTCAATATTTAAATTTTTATTTGCTGGTTTATTGATTTTGATGCTAAAATCGAAAAAAAAATTTCAATTAGAAAAATGCCACCTTTTTCAATTAGAAATCTTACATTTGTTTACAATTTGTAAATATTTGTTGTTTTTGTTCCGAAATTGAATCATAATAAACAATAAGACATTTATTTTTTAAATCGGCTTGTATTCGTTTAAAGATGACATTCTAAATGAATTTCAGTTTTTAGTTTTTCATTTTTCTTTCAAACAAACAAAAGAAAGTTTATTTACCTTATTCTGATAGGAGTTCATGATCCAGGATCAATAATAAAAGAAAAAAACAGAAATTTCAAAAAAATGTTCAAAAAAATTTTTTGGAACCCAAAAATTCGTTTGTCTTTGTTTTGTTTTTCTTTTGGTTACCCGTAGATACGACCCGAATAATAAAATGATACCGTGTGAGTTTCGTTCGAAATCGAACCTTATAACCAAATGGAACAGCCGAAATGAATGGAGGAAAAAAAAGCCGCTATATAATTTTTGAATTATTTTGCAAGTTGCGACATCTATGAGATCGAAAGAGAGATATGATGGCACATTGATTATTTCGAGCAAGTTTTGTTTGCCGCCAATTATCAAATTTTTGTTTTTTTTTATTTTTTTCTCAAAGAAATTTTAATCAAAATCAAAAATGGAAATTGATTCACAACCGCCGACTACTACTACGGCTGTAAATAAATTCAAAACATGGGTCGAAAAATATCGACCATCCAAATTGGATGATATTGTTTATCAAACAGAAATTATAAATTCATTACAAAATATAATAACATCGAATGCATGTAATTTACCGAATTTTTTATTCTATGGTCCACCGGGTACCGGTAAAACATCTACGATTATTGCATTGGCTAAACAATTATTCGGCGTTGAACAATATAAAAATCGTGTACTCGAATTGAATGCATCGGATGAACGTGGTATTCAAGTGATTCGTGATAAAGTAAAATCATTTGCACAACGAACAATATCCACCAATAATAATCAAAAATTGGCTGCCATTAAAATTATCGTATTGGATGAATGTGATTCAATGACCAAAGAAGCACAATCAGCTTTACGTCGAATTATGGAAAAATATTCGAAAACAACACGTTTTTGTTTAATTTGTAATTATGTTTCGAAAATAATCGATCCAATTATATCACGTTGTACTGTTTATCGATTTAAACCGTTAAAAATTGATCTTATCAAAACAACATTATTGAAAATCGGTAGCCAAGAAGGTTTCAAAATTAATGATGAAACATTAGATATATTGATCAAAATATCTGATGGTGATCTTCGTAAAGCAATTACTTTAATACAAACATTATCGTTGATCAGTGACAGTAATGATTGTAATGAAATTAGTCCGGATGATATATGTGAAATTGCCGGTCAAGTACCAATGAAATGTATTGAACATTTTTTCAATATTTGTCGTAATAGTAAATCATATTCACAATTATTGAACGAAACTACAAAAATTATTCATTCAGGTTATTCAGCTACACAATTTCTTTGTCAATTACAAGAATGGTTAGCCATTGCTGATGAATGTTTATTAAATGATGGACAAAAATCCAAAATTTGTTGGCAAATCGGTATTATCGATAAACGTTTATTGGATGGTGGTGATGAATTTTTACAATTATTACAAGTTGGTTCTTGTATTATGCAAATTGCTGGCTGCTAAGCACAGCTAAGCTAAGCTACTTTCCTAAATCATCAAGCCAGGCATAATCCTACCATTTCAAACAAATCAGCCAAAAACATCATTTTAAATTTATTTTAAACAAACAGAAAATGTACTTACCAATTCACTTTCATAATCATTTTTCATAAATAAAAAATAATTTGAAAGTTGTGATGGCTGTAAACAGGATGATTGTTGTTGTTGTTGTTGTTGAATGAATAATTCATCGGAAACCATTGGTGGTGTATCTTGTGTTTGTATCGAATCAATCAAAACATATAGGACATCATTATGACAATAAATATCATTCAATCGTATTGAATGTTCAGGTAATGTTTTTGTTTGATAAACATTTAGTATGGATTGTGCAAATAAAACAATATGATGATTACAATCGATTCGTAATAGATCATTAATTGTACGAACAATTATTTTCGGTTTGGATATTTTAATTATCGAATAATCTGGGCCATAAATTTTTAATACGTCCATTACGGATTGATTCGAATTGGCAATAATAAAATTATTATTATTATTTTCAGATAAATTTAAAATTGTTGATTGTAATTCCGGTGATGATGATGATGATGATGATGATTGTAGAATAGTACGAGCACCAATAAAATATAATGAATCATCAGTAAGAATTGCTGTAAAACATGATCCAACTTTGATTGACTTTTTGATTTTTAGTTAAAAAGTTTTGTGCTGATTATTTTGTAAAAAACTAAAATGTTACTTACTTTGAATTGTTGTTTTGGTTTTAATGGCGAAACTCGAATTGGTTTTATGATTCGATTCCGGTGATGAAGACCTAGCTGTCCATCAGAATTATCACCAGCAGCAATAATAGTATCATCATGTAGAATGAAAAATGAATGTTTTTCACCCAAACAAACATCTTTAATTCGGCCTTTAATAGCTTGACATCGAATTGGTTTTGTTGCCATTTTTATCGGTTTTTTCCGAAAACAATGACCAAAATCTAAATCATTTAGCGCCAATTGATTAAATTGATTATCACCACAAAGCCAAATTGATCCGTATTGATCAATAAATGCTGTTGCATTTTTACCACAAACAACTGTTTTAACTCGACAATCTAATCGTATGCAAGTAGGAAAAATAACCGTTTGTTTTTCACTATTAATACCAAGTTTTCCATTTTGATTCGAACCCCAACCATAAACATGACCATCCGTACTAACAACAACAACATGATCATCACTACAATCAACATCAACAATATTGATTTGTAATAATTCATTTACAATGGTTGGTCGAAATCTATTGGTTTGGTCATCACTACCTAAACATTGGCTACGATAATTTCCACATGTAAGAACCAGACCATTACGATCAACAAAAACACTGAATCCTTGTCCACAACCAATTTTCTGAATCGAATAACTATTCAATAATTTTATTTGTTTTGCATTCTTCAACGATATTATATCATGACCTTGGCCAAGTTCACCATTCTGACCATCACCCCATGAATAAACTTTATTATCATTCGATAAAGCCAAAAAATGATTATCACTTTTAACTAATTGTCGTATTGATGAACAATGTGAACAAGTAATTTTCATTAATTCAACATTCAAATCTAATTGTGAAAGATCTAATCGACAAACATATGAACAATAATTGATGAAATTCTGCCGAAATGAATTTCGATTATTTTGATGTAAATATGTTGATAGATTTGATTGTTGATCCATTCGAATATTTGGCATTGAATAACAACTTAGATTATTAAGATTTTTTGCCGACATTTCATTCATCATTAATGTAACTTTTTGAACCAGATATTCAGCTGTTGGTCGTTTACGTGGATTATGTTCCAATAAATTATTGATAAATTTTTCAAGCGTTTTTGAATATTGTCCATTCAGCGATAGATGATGTTGTTGGCCCTAGGAAAAATCATTTGATTATATCGATTATTATCGAATTCAAAACGATTGTTTTTGGTTACTTTGATAATTTTTGACATTAATCGAGCAATCACACCATCATCATTATTATCATCATCATCATCGTCGAATGGTATACGGTTATTTACGGATGTAAATGTCATTTCAAATAGTACACATCCTAATGACCAAATATCTGCCGGTTTATTGTAGGCTTTTCCCGAACGCTATATTTTGATCGAACAAACAAACATCGATGAAACGAACAGACAACAAATATCAACAAACTTACAATCTCTGGACAAAGATAAAGTGGTGTACCGACAAACGACCTAGCATCTTTATTTTTATCCAATATTTTCGATATACCAAAATCACCAAGTTTAATAAAACCTTGTTTATTAAGGAAAATATTTTTCGTTTTTATATCACGATGAATAACATTATTATGATGTAGATATTGTACAGCGGTTACAATCTGTAAAAATAATGCTAGAATTTCAAATTCACGTAATGAACAATTTAATGAATTTAGAAATGAATTTAATGTTCCTGCATCAGCATATTCCATTTCAATATAGAATTTATCACGCCAAACAAAACTACCATAATATTTAATAATATTTTTATGATTCAATATCGATAATATACGAATTTCATTTATAGTTGAATCAATTTGTTTTGCTTCAAATTGATCAACATCAAGTATTTTTAATGCAACATATTGACATTCATTTTCACAATGTTTACGGCAAAGAAAAACATGTCCAAATGATCCTTTTGGAATAATATTTTCATTTATAAACAACAAAAACATCGAAAACATTGAAACATTTTACCTTGGCCTAGAATTTTAAATTTTTCATATGTTTTACCATCATGACGGAATAGAATTAGATTTGATGATTGTCGAATTGGTTGATTTAATATTTCCATTCTTTTTCATCAAGAATTTCATCCGGAAAAAACAAAACATGAAAATTATAAACACCCAATCAAATGAGTGTTTATTTTTTTAAAGGAAAAAACAACAACTCAAAACATCGACGATAACCGATTCCTATGGTAACTTTATCAGTCAAATGATCAAAATCAAGTTGAGTTGTTTTGCTTTTTATTTAATCATTCATTGTTTATTTCATACACAGTATAATTTCCTAAAATCAATTCATAATTACATAATTATCAATCATTTATTCTTCTTTGATGAATTTATGATTCAAAACTGGAACATAGATTAGTACATCTTTCCAATCGCAAAAGAATGTAACGGCCAAAACACCAGCAGCACCGAATGTTGCACCTGATCGAATCCTTTTTGTGATTGGTTTTTCGGAAAAAAAATGTTAGAAAAACAAATCGAAATCAAAAAAAACAAAATCATTTACCATTTACGTCCTAAACCCAATGCATATGGTATGGTTATACCGGGTAAAACTCCTTTTATCTGTGCCATTATATTTGAAAATTTACTTTGATATTTCAAAGAAAGAAATCAGATTAACTTTGATTATGAATTATGTCGTGGCACAAAAACACAAACTGTCATTAAATAAAAATTTTATTTTTCGATGTTTTTTGTTTTGTTTGACCTGTTCGTTCTTGATTCCATCCAAACAACATTCGATGCGTTAAACATAAACAACGTATGCTCGATTTGTTTGTTTTTCTGTTTTTTTTTTTGGTCGAAAAAACTCATTTGATTTTCAAGTTTTTTTTTCTGTTTTGTTTGATTTTTCCTATTTAATAATTTTAAAATTATGGCTTTTCGACAATTAATCGGATTAACATGGCGACAATTACAATCACATGAATCTAGGTATGTTGCTGGATTTCAAAATCAGATTCCAAGATTGATTTTTGATGTGTTGATTTTCTATAGAATCTTATCAACATCATTACAACGATATAAATCAACATCAATAACAAGAGGTGTATTTCTAGACGGTGAATGTGAAGATAATTCTATTGTTTTAGCCGATCCGGAACAAGTTTCACTTGATCAACAACTTAAAAATTCATATATAACCATAGAAGAACCTAATACATTGTCAAATATATCTGGTGTACCATTGGATCAGGTAGAAGAACGACGTGTTCGAATCTATAAACCAGCCAAGAATGCTATGCAATCCGGTACTTTTGATACACAAAATTGGAAAATAGATTTTGAAAATCGTGCACGTTGGGAAAATCCATTGATGGGATGGACATCAACGTAAGTGAATCAAAGATTTTGAAAATTGTTTCAATTTTTCTTCCTGTTTTAATTTTAAAATAGTGGTGATCCTAATTCCAATCTATATCTTTGGTTTCCAACCAAAGAAGATGCTATTGCTTATTGTGAACGTAATGGATATTATTATGAAGTTGATGAAACACATGAACGTCGTAAATTGAAAAAAACTTATGCAGAAAATTTTTCCTGGAATCGACGAACACGTATTGGTTCGAAATAAAATTTGTCAAAACAACAGTAAAATGAAAATAAATTAGCAACCTGATATTTTAATTTTTAAAAAATTTCATTTATTTCTTTTAAGATTTGTAGATGATCATCAATAGTCAAAAAGGTCAAATATTGCTAAAATGTTTGTTTGTTTGTGTATAAATTAAGACAAAAAAAAAGAAATTTTCATATAAATTATTGCTTCATCATGTGACATAAAATCAATCAATCAATCAATCAATGATAATTAAACAAAAAATGAGGCATTTTTTTAAATAAAATCAAAAGATCATCATGTGTGTGTGAGGGCAAGGGTGAAAGGCACATTTGTGATCATCAAAAGAAAAAAGGTCAATATCATAAATTGATTGATAATTTTTATATAAAAAAAATGAGCAAAAATGAATTTGATAAATAGAAAAAAAAATTGTCCAAATATGATGATGATGTTTGATGAAAGGATGGAATAATTCAAAAAAATCAAATATATAGACAAAATCAAATTAAATTAATCAAATAAGTTCATCACTATACAAATTGAACAATTTAAAATTTGATGATGTTGTTGTTGTTGATTGTTGATGAAATCAATAATATTTTTTAAGTAGATATGGATATATAATAATAATAATCGAATCAAAATCCAAAGTTTTTTCTTTCTTTCGATTCGTTTTGATGTTTGATAATGTTGCAAAAAAAGGGGGACGGAATACGAATCGCTATTTAAGATTGATTGGCTTGGACAATCAATTTGTGATATCCGATGAGCAATTTGGATATTTGGTCGATTATGAGTATATAAAAGGAATCATCAATTTTTTTTGGTTTTCATTTGTTGCTGCTGCCACTGTTGTTGTTGTTGTTACGATTATTAGTTTGAGCAAATAATATACCATGATAAAGTACGCCATTTATTTCCATACTGACAGTTAGTTGTCCATCCAAAGTTCGGCCATCTATTTCATCAACAACAAGGAATAATCAATTGATGGTGAATTGAAATGAATCACATACCTTTGCTTGATATCTTTAGATGTGTACTTGGAAAATTACAAGCATTTAGTAAAAAATTCTAGAAAAAAGATGAAAAATGATGAATGTTTTGTATGTTTTGGTTTGAAATGAAATGAAAAAAAATATATACCTCTTCGCTTAAGAATCGTTTATTAGGCGTAACACCAAATAGATCTTCGTAATTAGTTTTTCTATCTAATGAATTAAGTTTTGCTGATGAACTTGTTGTTGTTGTCATTGTTTCATTGCCAGCAATATTTGTTGATGATGAATTACGTGGATTTATTTCTAGATTGAGCGCTTCATTAGGATTAAGACGATTATGTTGTTGTTGTTGATGATGATGATTATTATTATGATGATGATTATGACTACTACCGCTACCAGGTAATGAATGTGTATAAGGTGTATGATTGGATGATACACTTGCATTATCTTCTTCTCCTATAAAGTAAAGGGTTATTTTTGAAAAAAATTGACCAAAACAATTCTAAAAACATACCGGAAGAATGACCTTGTGATGATGATCGATGATTATGATTATGATGACCATTCAATAAATGTCTAGAGACTAGACTTAAAGGTGAAGATGAATGGCCATTATTATTATTATTGGATGATCCACTATTTACAAACAATGAATTACGATTAAGAAATTGTTGTGCTGCTGCAGCTGATACTGCTGATGATGATGGTGTTTGTAATGCTGATGATGATGATGATGGTAATGGTAATGGTGGTGGTGAATTAGTTAAATCAGGATATTGACCATAACTTGAACGTCTACCTTCACGACGATTACCATCGATTGCCATTTGTAATTCTTCTGGTTGGCTTAATTTTTCTTTTTCACATTCATATGGATATAAATATTTCATATATCTTTTTTTTGTTACGAAAAAAATATATTATCATTTGAACATTATCTGAATCTTTTTTTAAAAATAAAACTTACTGTGTACGTAATGTAAATGCAGCACTTGTTATTGATGATGGTAAACTTAAACCTTTTGTTATTTCACGCCAAATTTTTTTATTTATAACTTCAACTAAACCACCACGTGCAACAACTAATTGATATAATTCATATAAATCTAATACCTGTTTGGCCATTATTGGAATGCGATTGATTGGTGTACCTAAATAATAATAACCAGTAATAATATGGAAAACAACGAAAAAACAAAAAAAATTATTTATTGATCTATAAGATTAGATATTTTTTTCATAATGAAAATTCAAGACAAAATTCCTAAATAAATAAATAAAAGGGATGAAACAAACAGGAAAAAAATGCATGCAATTAACCCCTCTCTCTCGCTATCAATTTAGATTTCTTCAAAAAATATTTTCATTCATTTTGGCCTAAAGGCCATCAAAGGCCTATCATTGCAACAGAAAAAATTCAATTCGAAACAAGGTTCCAGTCAAACTGGTGCCAGATTTTTTTTCAAATGTTTCTCCTTGAATTTCATATAATTCGTTTTTTATACCAAAAAAAAAAAGATTTCAATAATGATGATGATGATCGATAAAATATAAAATGAAAAAAAAACTTATAGATTGATTTGATTTGAATGTGGGGGAAAAGGAGGCCTACTTGTGTGTATGTATGGTACAATCAGAAACTGAAATTAAAGAAAAGCCAAGTCAAGGCCAAAGCAATTATATGGCCAATGGACAAGTTAGTTAGTCGGCCAAAAAAAACTATCTTGGTCAGTCAGTCAGCCAACCAACCAGCCAGCCAGTCAGTTAGTCGGCCAAGACCCCTTGATACCCTAGAAAACGAAAATTGATAATCAAACACACACACCACCACCACCAATCAACATAAACCAATTGGGCTAAAAAAAATCATTCGATTGAAATGAAAAAAAACAAAAATTCTTGAGAAACAAATGAAAATGTTCAACAAAAACAAAAAAAACCCAGAAAAATCTATCTAATAATCATCATAATAATAATTGTTGTTTGACTTTGAAATTTAAATATTTTTTCATTTCATTTCATTTGTTACCTGGAAAAAAATAAGCAACGAACAAGGTAAGCAAGTAAAAAAAATGAATGATCAAAAAACACTTATAATAATGGGGTTTATAAAGCGGTTCGCTTTTTTTGATGGTGGCCAAGTGTGTGTGTGGCTATTAATTAAAACTAACCAAACCAAAACAAAACAAAAAACATAGCATTTGGCTGCTTGCTGTGTGTGTGTGTATGTCAAATATTCCAAGGTCTAATGATTAAACAAAAATATCGATGATATCGAAATGAATCGATCGATCGATCGGATTCAGAATCGATTGATTGAAATAACTCTATGTGATTATCAAATCGGTTTTTTTTGTTTGGTTTACCAAAAGGGGTTAAATGTTTTTTTTTTTCATTCATTTTTGACCATCGTCGTCGCCATTAACCATATGGTTATCATCATTATTTTGAATGTCATTTGGGTTGTTGTTTTAAATCAAAGAATGATAAATAAATTCATATGAAAATCTCTCCTTCATTCGATTTGCTACAAACGAAAAGAAAAAAATGATCAAAAATACTATCGAAACTGAAGAAAGGAAAATTTATCTGAAAAAAAAAGATATTCACGGCCATGTAAAATTATTTCATTTGGTCGTTTTTCGAAAAACAAAAAAACAAATTCATTTGAATAAAAGCTAACATGGTCGATGGTTGATAGTTGGTGGTGGTAATATGATCTATTCTGATGAATAATAAGAAGAAAAAACTTAAAGCCATGATCATCATCATCAAAATTTATAACGAAACAAAGTGACTAATAAAAAAAGAAAATATGACCATCATCAGATGATCATTGATGATGATGGTCAATTGGTAAGGTTGTTGGTGTTTTATAAGTCACACAACAAAATCGAATGTTTTCTTTTTTGGTTTTTGCCGAATTTTACGATGATCACACACACATTCGATTCGTGGTAGATTTGATGTTACGTTTGATCATGATGATGATCATAAATTTCGAATAATGTTTTTTTGGTAATAACGAACAAACGACCCAAAAATGTTCACGAGTAATTTAAAATACTATGAATCTTTTTTTCTTTCGAAAACGGAAAATATTCCGGGAAAAAAGGCTCAACATTCGAATGTTTTCGTGTTGCTCTGTTTGGTTGCCGTTGATGATGATGTTTTCAGTATTTATCGAAACATCATTATCGAACGAAATAAAAAGCCAAAAAGAAAAGATCATAAATATTGTTGTTTTCTGGCTAAAAAACAAAGCTTCTTTACTCGATTTACTTGAAACAAAAAACGTTCGAAATCAGATGGTCAAATTGTTGTTGTTGTTGTTGTTGTGAAATAAAACAAATTAACAGGAAAAACAGACAAACACACACACGTGATGTGCATTATCCTCAACAGTTATTATCAAAAAAAAAAATTTAAATAAAAGAAATTTTATAACTTACCTCGTTTTTGCATAAAACTAAACAAATCATCCAGGAATGCTTTACGTTTTGGTTCATCACTTATTTCGTATAGCTATATAAACATAGGATATTGTTTGGGGTTGAAATAGAAAAGAACGAATAGAAAAAAAATCCGGTCATTAACATTCGAAACAAAACAAAACAAAACAAAGAAAAAAAGGGTATCTTTAAAATGGAACCATGGATAAAAATGTTTATCGATGATCATTATCATCCATTTTTTGATGATTATAATTATTCAAAAAACAATAATCATCATCATCATCAGGTATGATTATCATATCAAAAAACTTTTGACATCAAATTTATTTTCAGAGAAATAACCATCATTGGTGCGATATATAGATGATGAAGAAGAGAATCATCAAACCGTGACATTATCATCAATGATCATTGATAATCAAAAAACAAAAAAACAGCAAAAAATAATCATCAAAAATGCTAATAACAAGAAATAATTAATTCCAATCTTTTCAATGTTTTCTGTTCATCATCATCTCTTTCCAGCAAAACAAAACAAAACAAAATCATCATCAACAAATAATGATGATCAAAAAACAGATGGTAGATAATAATAATTATCATTATAATATTTTGTTTTGGAATGAAATGAAAATATCCTTCAACTTGTCATACAACTTTTTTGTTTGTCATCATCATTTTTACTCGCTGATGATCATTGGTGAACGATGATGTATTGTTCATGGACACGTGTCATTTGGAAAAATTTGTTTTTTTTTCGCCAAGAGGTGATAGTGGTAATTTGCATAGATTGATGATGATCATCATCATGTAAGACCAACGATAATAAAGAAAAAAAATTGGATCGAATTAATATGATGATTGTTTCAATCTAAAAAGTTATGTTCTTTACCATTGTTTTATCGGTCTATAATTAGACAAGTTTTTCTTAAAATCCTTCTCCAAAATATGTTTGGTGGCTATAATTAGTGGCCCCAATGAATGAAGAATTTGTTCAATCAGAAAATTTTTCTTCATCATATCAACAATCGAGTGATGAACGAATCAAGAAATTGTTGCTCAATTTATCGAGTGGAACATTATGAATTAAAAAAAATTGCTTCCACCATCACCGCTTCGATTTTTTGTTTTCTTCGTAAGTTTTTTTGTTTTACTCAATTGATTTGCTGTTTTGTTTTGTTTTTGTTTTTCGGTCTAATATGAAAGAATTATTATTATGATTTTCATAAGTTGATCATAAATTTTACGCATTATTAATCTACCGAATCCAAATCAACAACAGCAACAAAAAAAATTACCAAAAATTGATGATGACGACGAAGTTTTTCTCTCTCTTTTTTTCAATTGTTTTTTATGATTATTATTATCATCATCATCAAAAGACTGCCTCTTTTTTTGTCTGAAAGAGGCAGTCTTTTGATAATTTTTATTTTCAAAATGATTGAAAAAGGGGAAAAGAGAATGAGAGAAAATTGATTGATTGATTAACCAAATTGATCAATCGATCGAATCATTTTTTTTTTTGTACTCAAAAAAACAAGTTACGCAAAAATGAATTGAATCCTATATAAAACTTTTTCAAAATGAATTGAAATTGAATGATGATTGTAATTGGATCAATCTTCATTCAAAACAAAAAAACAACAATAATTCAAGTCAATATGTTTGACTAATTAATTCTTATTTCATTTCAAATTCATTTCAATTCAAACCAATCAATTATGAACCAGCCATGCGAGATGAGCACTAAGCAATCTTTTTTTCCTTATTTCATTTCATTTCATTTTTATATTTCATTTCTTTGATATTCATCATGATCATTATATTTTCCTACCAGAAAATTTTATTCAAAAGAGAAATTGATATATTGATGATAGCCGAGAAACGATCAAAAATTCAAAAAACAACGAAATATTTTCTTTCTCTCCTTGCATTCAAGCTATCATAATTATTATTATGATTAATAATTAGAGAATGATAATAACAAACAACAAAAACAAGAAGAAATCAACTTTGAAAATGGCAAATGATTAAATGAAAAAAAAGATAGTTAATTATGATGATGGTTCTTTGTATAATCAAAAAAACAAATAAAAAATTTCTTAAATGTTTGACGTCATGTTTATCCAAAATGTGATCAATGATAAATATGATCTGTTGTTGTTGTTGTTGTTTAATCATCAAATAATTAATTGATTTTTTTTCTCCAGTTTTGAAAAAAATTGAAAAATTAACTCAAAAATCCTGATCCGAAGTCGGAAACAACTATATTAACCTAAATTGTCTTTTTTCTATTTCAACAATCAAAAAAAAACATTCGAATTCGAATGTTTATGTGTCACCCCCTCTTCTCATCTTCCCCCCGAAATCAATCATTTACATTATGAAATTTTTTTTTGGCCACTTTTGCTTATAATTTAATTGTTCCTGTTTAAAAAGAAAAAAACTTTATTTTCTCAGTTTTATAGCCTGAGAAAATAAAAATTTTCGTTTTTTTTTGTTGTTTGTGTATTGTTGACCATTCTTGAGTGAGAAATAAAGAAAGAATAAAAAGGCCAGACAATCATCATCGATGATGGTGGTAAAGGTCGAAGAATATATCTAAACATACACAAATAACGATAATATTGAATAACCAACCCAATCAAGGCTACTTATCATCATTGTCGGCAAGGTTTTGGTTTGTATACACATCATTATCAAGGTGGAAAATAAAAAAAAAATCAACCACCTGTGTGTGAACAATATTGATCACCAATTTTTTTTTGATGATGATGATGATTGTCGATTAATGTTTCTGTTCAACAATAATCAAATAAATTTAGTAATTTGAATTTTGTTTTTTTTTTCAAAAAAAAATTTTCCAACCATCATTGGATGTAATATTACATTGGGGACACCCATTAGGTAAATATTAATCGATGATTATTTGTTTTTACGTTTTTTTTCTTTCTCTCACTATTTTTTTTTTTGTTTCTCAGTCTTTTTAGATTGACTCTCAGGATCGTTTTGTTTTCTTAAAAACTTTCTTTGAACGGAAATTCAAAAAAAATGACGAATCTTAGAAAAATCATACCTGTTTAAATTGTTCTTCATAAGTATAGCCTTTTCCTGGTTCAATGCTTTGAATATGCATTGCTGATGATGTTGATGGTGATGTTGTTGAATGATTCGATGAACCTGATGTTTGACTTGGTGATGCTGATGAATGATGATTATTATTATTATGATTATGATGATTATGATTATGATGATGATGATGATGTGGATGATGATGATTATTCATTAATGCCGTATTTAATTGATGACCAAATGTATTTGTATTAAAACCACCGGATGATGCTAAATTACCAACCGATGCAGCTAAATTAGCAAAATGTGCTGCAGTTGGTAAACCGGCAGCTGCTGCTGCAGCAGCCATTTGTGCTGCTTGTCGTTGCATTGCAACTAACATTAATTCACGTTGATGATGTTCAGATTTAAAATTATTCATATCAGATAAATCATCCATTATCAATGATGAATTATTATCATTCATATTTTCATGATGCTGTTCGTCGTCATCCTCATCTTCACCATCATCATCATCCTCATTATCTGAATGTCGTTGACGATGTTTTTGTTGTTGTTGTTTAAAATGTCTTGATAATAATTCAGTAGCAACTTGTTCAGTAGTAACATTTAAATCTGTTTCCGATTTTAAACGATTCATTGCATTTAATAATGTTGTTGCTGCAACAGCAGTTGCTGTTTGTATATTATCTTCCGTTATAATACCGTTATTATCATTTTGTGTCATAATATTTGTTTTATCATCATCATCCTCATCACCCTCATCAACAATATTTGAATGATTATCATCTTCACCATCACTTCTATTATCATCAAAATCATTGCCATCATCCGATAATTCTTCTTCTTCTTCTTGTTCTTCTTCATGGCCATCATCAACATTACCATTTTTCGCTGTATTATGGATATCATTCTGTAAATAGAAAAAAAAAGAAATTAAATATCAAAAAAACAATGTAAGAATGATCAATGATTATTTTGAAAAATATTAATTAATTATGTTTTTGTTTTTTTTGTTTTTAGCAACCCAAAACCAAAAATTTTTTTTCATTAATCCATTGTATTAGATGATGATGATGATGAAGAATTCATAATTAGTCTGACCATCATCATCATCAATGATAATCATCATGCTGTGTGTTTATGAAGTTGAGCAAAAAAAATTTCAGATTCATTCATTTATTTCAAAGATTTTCTTCTTCGTCTTTTCCAAATGGTCAAACCAACAACAACCAGAAAACAATTTGACCTGATGACATGAACAATTTATGAAAATCTTTTTTTTTGGAAAAAATGGTATGTATTTTCATTTTGCTGCTTACCCAAATGTAAAAAATATTATTTTATTTATAAGTAACATATCATATCATTGTTTCTCTCGTTTGTTACATATTTTTTCCCCTTATTTAGAGAGAGAGAGAAAGATATACGAAAATGAATAGATATACAATCGTGTCAAACACACACAAATATCATCGAGGATCGGAGGTCAGTACCAAACATAGTTTTCTTTCTTAGAGATATAAAGACAATAATGATGATGTTGAATAAATGGAATTGATATTAATCATCATAATTTTTTTTTTGGTAGGGGGGATATGATATGATATGCATGTATGTACCTGATGATGATGATGATGATGATGATGATGTATAGAGATTATTAATTATAAATCATCACCAACAACAAAAAACAGGCAGTCAGGCTAAACGAACAAGATATGTTTAGTTCAACCATAGAGAGAAAAAGATGAAAAAACAAACAAACAAATAAAAATGGACAATTGTAATATTGAAATCCTTCAAATTAAGGGAGAAGTAAGCAACAAACAGAAAAAATTGAAAGAAACCAATGTCGAAATAGAAAAAAACGGGCAAGACATATTTCGATTATTCAAAAAAAAAAGATTGAAGAAATCATAAATGAATGAAATGATGAAAATGAAATAAACAAAAATCACGATTCCAATCATCATGATCATATAAAAAACAACAAAAAAAAACAAATGATATCATTGATCATAATCGAATCGATTATTGGCCAAAGAGAAAGACCAGAAAAAAAATGACCAGAAATATGAAAAAAAACTAAACAAGACAAGCGCCCTGGTTGTTCGATTGCTGTATGTTTTATTTGGCTGAAAACATCTGAATTTGATTAATCCATTTGTTGATAATGTTTTTTTTTCAAACTTAATTTTCTCTCGAATAATCAAGTAGTGCTATCAAAAGTTGTTCAACGAAGAAAAATTGATTAATTTAAATGAATTTTTCATCATCATCAACAAACATCATCGATTGACCCGAACAACCACCATCATTTTTATAGACAGCCAATAAACTTTGTATGTATTATTGGATACATCGTATGATCTGAAGGATGCTAAAGACAATAGAGTTTATCATTTGAAATATTTTCGAATGAGAAGGAGAAAAAAACATTCATCACTTGTCAATTTTTTTTTTGGGTAACAAACAAACAAACAAAATTTGCTAATCAAAAGAAAAAAAAATTGAAATTTCCTCATCCCCCCTCCTAATCATGATTATTATTAATTACATCAATTTCCAAAGAAAAAAATCGAATGATCATCAACAACAACAACAACAGGGTATCAAATGAATGAATATTGAATTGAATTCTTCTCCCCCCCACTCACTTACCACAAAAGACAATTATCAATCAATGACCAATCAAAAGAAGAAACTTGAACTTTGAATTTTTCAACACACAGAGAGAGGGGAACAAAGAACAAAAGAAAAAATTCAACAAGTTTGTCAAAAAAAAAAAAAAAATTCATTGCAATCAATATTTCAAAAATCGTAATGATAATGGCCCTCCTTTTTTGTTGTTGTTGTTATTGATGACTCCCCCACATTATCTTTTTTTTTCCCAAAAAAAAAAAGAAAAAAATTGATGAAAAACGATTTGTTTACATATCGTCTTGCAATTCACACACTGAGTGCACTGAATGTGTTATTAAATCAATAATCAAATCGATTGAATCGAATGATGATTGCCACCTTTAATTCGAAATGAAAAATCATTTTCGAATAAAAATGGCAAACTATTCCAGTAATGTTTCCTCAAATTTTCTCATCATCATCATCTTCGACACTCGACTTGAAATTTTCAGCCATGGCGGCGTCTACGGTGACAACAAGCGAAAAAAGCAAAGAAAAACAAGTGAGAGAGAGAGAGAGAGAGAGAGAGAGAGAGAGAGAGAGAGAGAGAGNCCCCCTCCTAATCATGATTATTATTAATTACATCAATTTCCAAAGAAAACATTAATCGAATGATCATCAACAACAGGGTATCAAATGAATGAATATTGAATTGAATTGAATTCTTCTCCCCCCCACTCACTTACCACAAAAGACAATTATCAATCAATGACCAATCAAAAGAAACTTGAACTTTGAATTTTTCAACACACAGAGAGACTAGAGGGAACAAAGAACAAAAAAAAAATTCAACAAGTTTGTCAAAAAAAATTCATTGCAATCAATATTTCAAAAATTGTAATGATAATGGCCCTCCTTTTTTTGTTGTTGTTGTTATTGATGACTCCCCCACATTATCTTTTTTTTCCAAAAAAGAAAAAATTGATGAAAAACGATTTGTTTACATATCGTCTTCCAATTCACACACTGAGTGCACTGAATGTGTTATTAAATCAATAATCAAATCAATCGATTGAATCGAATGATGATGATTGCCACCTTTAATTCGAAATGAAAAAAATCATTTTCGAAATGAAAATGGCAAACTATTCCAGTAATAATGTTTTCTCAAATTTTCTCATCATCATCATCGACACTCGACTTGAAATTTTCAGCCATGGCGGTGACAACAAGCGGAGAAAAAAAAATTCAAAGAGAGAGATGTCAAATAAATAGTGTTATTACCGAAAAAAATCATTCATAATGCTAATCATTAATGTATTATAATGGGCCATCACATCACATCTTTTTTTTTCATTTCATTTATCACCAACAAAAAGAAGAAACTTGAAAACAAAAATTGACTCCACTCTCGAATCCATATTATTATATTTAACAAAAACTAGATTTCTCACACATCGATTGCCATCTTAATTATCACCATTTTTTCGTTTCGTTTTGTTTTCTGGCATCATCATCATCATCATAATTCATTTGGATAATTATTATTATTACCACACATCTCAACATGTTTATATTTGATATTTGATTTTTTCATATAAAAATTTATTATAGGTCTTTTTTATTTAATATTGAAAATGATGACTAAAATGAATGAATGACTGAATGATGATGATTTTGATCGATTGGCTTGATGATGATGATCATCATCATCAAAATTATCATCATCATTAAAAATGAGGAGGTTTCTTCTTTTCATTCATTCAACCAATCTTCATTTGAAAAAAATGATTGGCTTATAAAAAATGTGGTGTGGCTTAATTCATTTCATTATAAAAATGATGATAACCAACCTTATTATATAATAATCCCTGCCTTAAAACGCACATACACAAATGACATGACACATTGGTCAATGTATAATGACAAAAAGTCTTTTTTTTTTGTTGTTGTCTGAAATGACCATTAAGTTTTTTTATTTATTTCAATTCAAAAAAAAAAAAAAATGATATCAAATTTCATTTGATATTTGAAAAATTTGGAAAAATATAAACCAAATGTGTTTACCACATGTGTGTGTCGTCATCATTTTTTTTTCTTTGCAAAATTGTCGTCAATCAATTCAAAATACATCCGTTCAATTTATTCTTTTTTTTTAAAAAAACTTTTAAAAAAGATGATGATACACACACACAAACTCATACCACTACTTTCATCATATAAACACAGACACACATTTTTTGTGAATTTAAATGATGATGATCATCAAATTTGATCGAGTTATATTATTATTGATGATCATCATCATGATCATCATCATAATAATCTTAAATTCCATGGAATCCATAAATAGCATAGCGCACATCATCATTTAAATGAAAAAAAAAATTTATTCAAAGACGAAGAAAAAAAAGAAAAAACCATGAGGCGAGAATCATCATTGAAATGAAATAACTTTTTTTTTCTTCTCTGAACAAACAACCATTGAATATTGAATTCAACAAGCGAGAAAGAAAATAATAAATAAATTTTCTTGATTTTAGAGCGAAAGCAAAAAAAAAAAATAATAAATTGATCGAGTATGTTTTTGGTAATTTGAAGAGGACCAGAAAATGATCAAAAAAAAAATTTTTATTTTATTTTTTGAATTTGAATTTCGAAACAAAACAAATGTGTGCCATATGTTGATCTCTCTCTCTCTCTCGTTCCTTCGTTTATTTGATCTTTTTTGATTTGCATTAAAGTTTCGAAAGAAGAAGAAGAAGAAAAAAAACTTAATTTCATTTCATTTTCAAATCTAAATTGTTGACAGCCCGATTTTTTTCTTGCTGGATTTGACACCAGCCAAAATCAACGACAATTGGAAGAAAAAAATAAGGAACATAATTCATTTTTTTTTGTTGTTGTTGGAAAGAATTATCAAATTTTTTTTCTTTTAGTCAAATGTGGGGGAGAGAAAGGAATAAGGAATTAAAATATTTTTTTTTTGCATTTTTATAATCGTCATCGAATGTAAAAAACATTTTTTCATTCGTTCGCTATGTGTTTTTTTGGTTTGATTTTTGCCTTTAGGCAATAGGATTTTTTTGATGGTCAAATATTATGAGGAGGACATTGCAAAAAACTGACCATCATCATCATCATCATTATGATTATTATCGTCTGTATCGATCATTTTGAATGTTAATCAACAACCACCACCAGCAGCAAATATGCAGGACAACATGGCTACAAAATTGAAACTTTCAAGAAAAGGTCCAATCAAAATTGATATCAAAAAAAAAATTCGTGGTAAATTTTTTAGCAATGTGCGCACATGGTATTAATCAGAAAAGAAATGAAAATTCCATGGTCATTTGAAAAAACAAAAGGAAAAAAGAAAAACTTTTATGGTCCCTTTGTTGATCAACATGGTTTTTGGCTTTCGAGGAATGATAGAAATGAAAAATTGATTTCTAAATGTCGAGAGAATTCTGGTTCTACCAAAATCTTTGATACATCGACCGTTAAGTTAAGAAAAATTGATGCCCACGCCATTTTATTTTTAATGGAGCATAGTACATTTAATCTTTCAAAAAAAGAAATTAGAATAGGAAAAGTTAGAGAGAGAGTGAGAGAGTGTTAAGATTGCCATATTGCAATCAAACAAATATTAATTGCCATGTTCATTTCTTCATTTCTTTTCCCAAAAAAAAAAACAAACTTTTGGCGATATCTGGCTGTCATTTGTATACATGAAATGGCTAAATATGAATACGAAAAAAAAATGCGTAAATCAGAGGGGGGAGGAAGAAAGAAATTCTTTAAATCATCATCATAGGCCACCATTTATATTTGAAGATTTTAGCTATAAATATTTGAATTATTTTCAATTTCTTTGGCTTTATTTCAACCACGACCGACTATGATGATGAAAATTCATCATCATCAGACTTTTAAACACAGAATTTTTTTCATCCAGAATGTGTAATTAATTTTATCAACAAAAATAACAGCAATTTCCATTGCCAAACACTATGGATTTGATTTGAAAAAAAAAATTTTTTATAGAAAAAAAATTACAGAATATTTCGACGCATTCGATTCATTATCATCATTATGATGATTAACTGACTGACTTAATGAATTCGGAAAGAAGAAGAAGCAGCAGCAGAACAGAATTTGATTGCCAGAATTTTTTCGCTACCAACTTTCAAAATTTCATCAAGCATCAATAAATGAAATGAAGAGAAAATTTCTGATCAATTAACAAACACAAATCAAATGTTGTTAATTACTTTATTTACAGCAAAAAACAAAACAAAAATTTCACATTTGAACAAAACACCTACATAAAATTCGGTTGACAATTTAATTTTGTTTTAAAAAAATTTTTATTTGATTGTTTTTTTTCCGGAAAGAAATTGCCATCAATGATGGCAACCATAATTAAATCAAATATGGAGTGTTAAGGGTTAATATCAAAAATCAAATTGGGTGGAAATAGTTGACATTAACTTACATTTGTCGTTGTATCCATATCGCTTCCACTTTCATCACCACCACCACCACCACCATTACCATCACCATCATCGGTTATTTGGCTATCCATAACTGATGATGGATATGATGGTATCGGTATACGATTTTTGACACGAATTTTGAATGAAAATTATGGTTTTGTTTTTTTTTCACGATTAAAATTTGACAACAACCGATGACACCGAAAAAAACAACAATTGTAAACAAATCAAAACAAAAAACATCCACTCAATGATGATAATTGAAACGTTGAAAATAAACAAACAAACAAACACAAACTGATCAATAATATTGATTGAAAAAAGGGAAGAGAAAAATAGCCACGTTGTTTTTCGAAGAAATCAATACATTTTTGTAAATGATAATTATTATTTTAAAGAAAATTATAAAAAAACAACAACAACAAAAAAACTAATTAAAATTTTCTTTTATCACGCAAATACAACCAAATGATAAATATGAAATCGAAAAACAAAACGTAAACCAAAAACGTAAACATGCAAATGACGACTGAACATGATAATAATATTTTTTTTTGTTCACCAACCATCCATCCATCAATCGATCAAAATTTTAATTTTTTTCTCTCTCTCTCTCTTCGTAGTCTCCGCACTGGTTTTGGGTATGGCTGTATATATTTTTTTCCTGTGTCTATCAGCTGCCGCTGTTTTTGTTTTTCGAAACAAAAAAAAAAAGCGTGTTTATGTGTATACATGTTATAAGTGTTAGGTGGTTGCGGCTTTTTTTCTCATTACATTACATACACAGTGAGCGTTTAAAGCACAAATGAATGTGTGTACGAACATTTTTTAACCCTGCCCTCTGAAATAATCATTTTCAGTGGAGCCTGATTCTGATTGGATAAAATTATCCAATCAGATATTTTATTTCGTTTGATTAACTTTATCATCATCATCGGTATTAACAATTTTATTAAAACTTGGATGAATGAAACATCTCTTTTTTTATTCGATAATTTGATATTTTTTTTGTTGTTTTGTTTCAATGATGTTTTTGTTAATTTTTATTCACATTGATTTTAATTGAAAAAAAAAACATAAAAGTTGAAAATCAAATTTTTTCAAATTCAAATTCAAAATTATGTCATCTGTGTGCTGCCATCTATGGATTGAAATTTAAAAATAAAATTTGATTTGATTTAATCACATCAGGGTTGATGATTTTTTTTTTTGATGTTCGGGTTGATTGATTGATTGTGAAATTAAATTAATCAGATAAAATGAGTAAATTAGAAAATGAAATGAATATTATATATCATATATCGAAAAATATGCAACATGTATAAAAAAAATAAATGATAATAATCACATCATCATCATTATCATTATAAAAATGACAGTTATGACAAAAATAAGATTTACATTAATCAATTGTAGTTGATGAAAAAAATAAAAAAAATATAAAAAGATCAATAAATCAGGAAATAATATCTTGTGAATATGTAGCATCAGCTTCTTCACCTTCTTCATCATTAATAACTAATGTTTCAGAATTATGTTTACAAAATAATCCATTGAATACACTATTATAGATAGCCATACCGATAAGTAATACAAAAAATCCACCCAATTTATAAAAAGAAAAATCTTCTACTCTTATTGCCAAACTAAATATCCATATGATAATTGTTCGAACTGAATCCAATACGGTACGTGTTGTAGCTGATAATTGTTTTGTAACAGATATGCCAGCAAAATTAAAGAATGCAATACTTAAAATTGTTCCTAATTTGGAGAAAAAATGACTTGTTATTAAAAAAAACAAAACAAAATAAATAAATTTTAACTAACCGGATATACCACTTGCAACTTCCCAGCTATTAAAAATTTGATAAAAACCATCGATAGCATCTTCAATTTGATTATCAGGATTTGTACTAAACATTTCACCTTTGATTTTAATAAAATACATTGGTACTAATAGTATGGATAATATAACAAAACCGAATAAACCTTCCCAACCAACCGCCTGTAATGGTGATACATTTGAACCGGAAACATATTTTTCTTCAACAATCATTTGTGTTGCAACAACAATTTGTGCCAATATAATAAGTATATCACCAATTGTTGAATTATTTTCATTTTTAGATAACATATCACTTAAACCGACAATAATTAAACCACCAATAACTAAAAACATTCCAAACCAATGATATAATCGAAGACGTCGTTTAAGAAATATTATGGAAAACAATCCGGTAAATATGATTAATGCACCACGTAACATTTGAAAACTTGATGAACTAGTCATATTTAAACCAATATACATGACTGATGTAGCGGTTAAATCACATAATGCTGGTATCATAAATATAAATGGATTAAAATTTCTATTTCCTTTAATCGATTCGGGTAATTGTTCAGCATCATTATTATTACGTCGCATATAATAATGATACATTAATTTATATACCAAGAAACAAAGAAATTCACCAAAAAACATAGCCGCCGCTTGTAAAAATGGATGATTAAATTTTTTTATTTTACCATCACGACCTTTTGATTTACTATCATCTGCCCATCTTGAAATTTAATTATTATTAAAAAAAATAATTAATTTTAAACATAACCCTTTTTGTTTTAATATAAACTTACTTGGTAGCTAATGTATTAATCGATCCGGTAACAATCATTAATCCAGCCAAAAATAATTGATATTTAGTCCAGGCCATCTTTTTGTTTTGTTTTTTTTGAAAAAATATTTTAATTTAAAATCGACCAAATGATTGATTGATTGATTGATGGATGATGACAACCAATACGCTACGTATTCATATATAGTTAATATGAAAATATTTAATGTGAAAAAAACGCCTAGATAAAATTTGATACTTGTAAAGAATACACACTTGGTATACGTAGAAAGAGAAAAAGAGATCTTTTGCTATACGTGATGATGATGTTCATTCACTTATGATGATCACAATAAACAATGAAAAGATGTTGATGATGACGAGGATCACATCAATATTTTAAAATATTTGCCAATAAAAATATCATCATCATCCATCCACTAATCAAATCCAAATCCAAATTCAAAAAATTTTAACCTTTGTTCAATAAAAGATGATGATGATAATTGTTTGCTAATTGAAAACAGACAAAAATCCCTTAAAGCAAACACCCGTTTCAAATTCAATTGGTTACCAAAATATTTTTATGTTTTTTTTTTTGTTGAAATTGATAATTGATGTTGATATGAGCTATAGCCCATCTCAAACCAGTCAAAACCAAAGGCCACTGTAATACAGAGATTTTTTTTTGTTTTGTTTGTGAATCGTGTATGCATACATGTGTATGTTGTGGTACCATCCATAAATATACTGCTTTACCACTGTATATATATCGTCAATGTCGTCATATATTCGAAATCGAAGGATTATCCCCAAAACAAGTTCTTTATATTTTCTTATAAATGATGATCGAAAAAAAAAATTGTCGGTAGTTAAGTGGTTAATTGAATTTGATAAGATAAAATTTTGATAAGTGCTTCCGTTTAGTTAATTAATCGATGCGGATAATCATATCGGGCGACATCAATATGATAAAATGAAATTCCAATCACAATCAAAAATTTTTTTTCAACTTTTTCAAAGTAAACTTGGATTAAACAACTTAAAAGATCTATTTAATCATAACTAATCACCAAAAAAAAAAAGAGATTAAGCTTTATAGACATTGAATAGAGCACAAAATTCTCCAACAGTTAGATCGGTAAATTCACCATTTGTACAATTCGTACGATAATTACATTCTTTGTTATAATTTTCAATCAATTCTTCGATACTATCTTTGATGATAAATTTATGTACATAGGTTTGCCTATATTAATTTATCATAGATTGATTAATGAAATGATTTATTTAAAAATATAATGTTTACCTTGTTTGACCGATTCGATTGATACGACCAATTGCTTGTAGCTCATCTCGTTTGTTCAGTATAGGATTGACAAACACTATTCGAGATGCTTCGGTAAGATTAAGACCTTTGCATGCAAATCGAGTAGGCAATAATAATACACGACATGAATCAGATTTTCGAAATCGATCAATTTTGATGGCAAATTTATCATCACCTGATCCGGAAATCAATATAGATTCAACATGATTCATTTGTAATGCTTTTTCCAACAATTGTAACATTCGTAACCATGTGGAAAAAATTAATATTTTTTCATCATTAGATTCTTGTTGAATTTGTTTGACACGACGAATAATGGCCACTATTTTCGATGACCAATTTCCTTCAACTATAAATTGTAATTAAAAGTTTGAAAGTCACATGAATCACACATCACATACCCATCATTGATGATTTATTGATTAATAAATTTGAATCGACAAAACAAATTTTTAGATGATCAAATGGTGATCGACAAACTGGACATCTAGATGATGTTTCCGAATGTTTACTAATATTTCTCATACATTCAATACATAACAGATGTCCACATGTTAGTACTGAATATCGGATAAGATCTAACCAACAAACTGAACATACTTTACTATCAATATTATCCTTATCTTTTAATGTACTTTTCAAATTGTTCAGATATTTTAGCCGTTGTTGATTTGTACGAAGTTTTTCTTCAGCCATTTCTTTAGCTGATGAATCACGATGAAACAATGATAATGAATCGACACCATGTTCATAACGAGTTTGAGCTTGATTCAATTCATCGATTCGTAATACAAGTTCGCATGATTCTCGCCAACATTTTCGATGTGCTTTATATTCTTTTTTACATTCATCAATATATTGATTAAAATTGTCAATATCGGCCACTGTAACATCATAATCTATTGCCGAACCGACAGTTCGACTTTTAAACCAAACGCCCAATTTACGTATTGCAACTAAACATAAATTTTCATTCCAATTATCAGCTTCATTTTCCTCTTCATTCTCAACATTGATTGATATGGATTTGTTGAATTGAAAAATGATTTTTTCGAAATTTTTTATCACACTTTCTGTTTTACATAGATGACATCGTTCTGGTCTTTCCGGCACGGATTGTTCTGGTGGTCTAATATGACAATCTATATATCGATCCGGATTACCACTTAATGATTCATGATCCAATTGAACGAATGCATCACGAATCTGTTGACGAACTTCTTCGAATGAATTTAGATATTCACATAATTTCCATCGTATTGATTCTATTGATCTTGGTCCAATCGGATCAATTAGTTGACGGCTATCACCGAGGATTTCCAATAAAGTGAGTATTATTTCGTCTACATTCATCACTTTAGAAAGTTCTTTTAAGGCATGAACTAGCCACCAGCCTTTTAAAGTGAATTTCTCATTGATTTGATCACATTTTTTTATCAATTCCCGTCGATATCGATCCGCTGTTAGCAATGAAAGCCGAGCTGTATTAAGATAGTCCTGATACAATTGTTTAGCTTTCAATCGAAGATATCGATCATCTGGTTCGATGGGCAATTCGCCATCTGATGGCAAACAAGGCTTAGAATCTCCTGGCATCAAAATAGATTGCTAATGCATTTGCAATTAGTTTTATAATGTCAGTATAAGATTCAAAAACATACAGATCCATTGAATGGGTCCATTGGCTGTTCATTGACATCGACTTGTGTGCATCCAACAAACTCAAGTATTTGAGCAAGATTATAGTAAATATGATATTTTTGTGTTTTATCCGTACGAATATCATCACCAACATTGTTTATAGATGTAAGAGCTTCTTTGTACATATGGATGGCCGTTTTAAAATCATTCTATAAAAAAAAAGTTAAGATGTCCATAAGATTGAACAGATCTTTTTTTTCAAACATTCATACCTGTAGCAGATAGCATGCAGCCATTCCATTAATTGATGCAATTTTTTCTCTATGACATTTTTCACAATCATATTTAGCATCGTCAATCATCTTATCGAGGACATCCTGTAGTGAACAATAATCACCAAGTTTTACTTTCAAACACATTTGTGGATGACAGCAAATCTGTCGTAGCCGCAATGCCAATGTAAATATGACCGATTGTACCGTACTGCTAAGATGTGAAATTTTCATTTCACTGGGTGTTGTTATTAATTTGGTCATCATTGATTGTTGACAATTTGATGCCTCTTGTAGGTAAAAATCACGTTCTATCTGTGATAGATCACAATGTTCCATTATGGTAATCGGTTTTGATATACGAATTTCATCAAAAACTGATGCTTTCGATGCACGCCAAAAACATCGAGTCATAACGTTAATTAAATGATCCTGCTCACCTGTATATAAGTTTCTAACATCAGTTAACATTGTAGCTAAACTAAAATACTTGAAACAAACCATTACAAAAAGGATTGTAAAGGTGATTCTTCCAAACATTTTCTTCATTATATGGTCGTTCGCCAATGAAATTTATAAGACCAAACAAATCTTCAATATTTCGTTGAATAGGTGTACCAGTCACAGTCCATCGATGTATCGAATGTAATGATTTAGCCATACGAAATATTCGAGTTGTACGGCCTTCTACAAGTTGTGCTTCATCAAATATCAAACGCCACCAACGTATCGAACATAATGGTGATACCGGTGTATAATAACGACGACTATTACGTAAATGGCTATAATCATGAGCAGCGACAAAATCTAATTCGGATTTTAGAATTTCATATGTTGTAATGACAATATCATTACCGGCCAATTCAGGTGGAAATTTATAATCTAAATGTTTATATATTGATTAAAACCATAACAACACAAACTTATCAGGTAACTTTCTAATCGACCTACCTCTACATTTGACACCATTATATTTGAATATTTTTACATTCGGTTCATCAATATGTAGATTTAATTCTTGTATCCATTGACTTAAAATTGATGTAGGACAGACAATTAATGTAGCCGGTGAATCGATTAGATCCATTTGTGGCCAACAATGGCTACAAATATAACCAAATTTTTGTGATTGTTCAATTGAATAGCTACTACATTCAAGATGTTGAAAATGACCACACATTAGACATTGAATTAGATTATCAACCAAATGATATTGTTGTCGAAGACATTGTTGACGTAATTGTTCCAAATTGATAGCATTCATTTGGATAATTGAATTATGATCGATCATACCACAATGACAACGTATTTCACCGGCTAATGGATTATTTGATAGTTGAAATAGATTCTGTTCGGTCAATATGAAATTTATATTTTCCTGGCTCGTGGTTGTTGGCTTTGGATTATTCAATATTAAACCGATTACATCGACTGTTTTGCCTAGACCCATTTCATCTGCTAATATACCACCTTTGGTTGGTAATTGTTTCAGATGTTCAATATATTCATGATATACTTTTTCGGTAAGAAAATGACCAAGGCTTGAATGAAAATACAAATTCTCATCAATATATTTTATATTGGGAATTTTTTCAAATTGTTTGCCTAGATCAACATTGGTATTTTCTTTAGATGTTTCGCGCATTAACATCCATTTAAGAGCCATTTGTTGATGTCGCCATAATTTTGGTCGTAAATTTTGATAATCAATAACAATCGTTTCGAATTCATTAAAATAACCGGGGTCATTCTTTTGTTTCTGAGCAATGGTTTGATAAAAATTTTCGATCTCGGTATTGTTACGAAATTCATGAGATTGATTAGTTTCGAATAACCGATTGCCATGAATGAATGCCATCAATAACAACGTCAAATCATTTTTGGTTGTCGTCATGGCAATTTTAAATGTTACCATATCGATAAATACAATGCTTGATGATAAATACCAATCAATCACAAGATTAGCATTTGAATGACGGATCGCTTTCGCTTTACAAAATCGACGACCTTTAGCCATGTTTCGGGTAAAATTTCGATAGAAATCATTGGGCAAATTCAAATCCAGGTTGGTTGTCAATCGATGTAATATTTGTTTGGAACAAATTGATTCATGAAGATAATAACGATTACTAGCAGTTAATATTAGATGATTATATGTAAGATTGTAATCATAATCGGTCGTTTTTTCCCAACTATCTTGTACATCAAAACACAATGATCCAATAGCAAGCATATTGTCCATAGAATCTTTAGATTCATTATCATTAATTATTTCTATATCAATATAACCATACTGATAAGAATTATCAAGATCAGAATCTAATTCCAATCCATTATTATTGAACAAATCAAGAGTATTAACAACAGATTTGGTTGAAGATGATAATTTACGTTTTTTAGTTGTCATTTTTTGTGATAAATTTCGAAATTGGAATTTGTCAACATTCCAAATATTCGAATGTTGTATCCATTCCACATGTGATCCTATCCTATACTAATGACCCAAAATCTTTTTTCTTTTTCTTTTTTTTTTGAAAAAAAATTCAGCTGAATTTTATTCGAAAAGAAAAAATGAAAACAGCCGTTGTATTCTTTTTTGCTTTCGGAATTATAAGCGGTTATTATATTTGGAAACCGATAATTCAAAAACATAAAAATGAAACGATTGCTGCCAACAACAGTGAAAAACAGAATGAAAACAAATAATCATCATCATGATCAAAGAGAGTATTTTTATTGTAATTATTAATTATAAATTGAAATTAAAAAACAAAAATAATAAAATAATAATTTGACTTTATCCTAAGAAATAATACAACCATCATTATTATTATTACCATTCAAATGACTTGAAGATGATTGTTTTTTATCATTATTATTATCAACTAAATGACCCATTTTAAGAAATTTTTGAAAATCTAAATCAAATTGATCATCATCTTCGTCGCTTGAACAAGATGACGATGATGATGAAGATGTGTTTGATGAACAAGTTGAACATGATGAACATGAATCATATTGATCATCATTACAATTATTTTTCGATGATTTTGATGATCGATAATTACGATTACTACGATGTTTGGTTTTTTTCATTCGTATTTGTCCTTGATCACTTAATTTATCCTGTATATTTGGATCGAATGATACCGATTTGTTTGATTTGATGGTAGTAAGATTGGCAATTTTTGTTGTTGATTGTGATTTATGCGCTGGATTTTCATTGTTCAATGTTGATGGTGATTGTAAAAATGAACCATTATCCATTTCCTGAGAACTTTTTGAATTTGAATTATTCGAATCGATTGAAACATTTTCCGGTATTGAATCAATTCGTTGATTTAGTTTCCGTGTCATATTGATTAATGATGAACAATTGGATGAATTATCACTATTCACCAATAGATTACAATATTCTGGTGGTGGTGATTTTTGCCAATTACATTGATGATCATTAATCATCGATGATGGTAAAATATTCGATGGCCAAGGTGGAATAAATTTTGGCATCTGTTGTTGTTGGTGGTGGTTATCGAAAGTTAATCGTTGTAAACATTCATTTGGATCTTCACTAATTTCGGTTGTTGTTGTTGTTTTTGATGTTTGTGATGATACATCATTATTTATACTTGATGAATGTTCAACAACATCAACAAATTCCTGTTCTTTAGACCAATCATATTTGGATGTAAAACATTGATTATTCTTTTTAATAAATTCTACATAATCAACCATTTGACTACGACGAAATTGCATTAATGATGATGACGATGATGATGATGGTCCAGATGATAATCGATTATCGATTATGTTATCATCCGTTCTTACAGAAAGGGTAGTTTGATTTTTTTCAGATCGATTTTGTTGTTGTTGTTGTTGCTGATGATGCTGATTCTGTTGTTGTCGTTGTTTAAGACGTTTTTTACGATGTGCTTGCATTGCTTGTGAACATGAAATCGAACAATAAATACGACCATCCATAGCGGGTAAAAATGGTTGTCCAAGTAGATTTTTCATACATAGCGAACAACGAAAACATCGATGATCAGCATGCCATGATCGACCTTCATGTACAATGGCACCAGTTTCACAGCCAATTAATTCACCACATTCTTCACAAAGATCACCAAATAATATATCAAAACAAGTAAGACAATATGGTTTTTTTGATTCAAATGATGGTGATGATGATGATGATGATTTTTGACCACTATTATTTGCCATAATATATTGTTGTCCACCTAATGATCGTTGACATTCAGTACAACAAAAATGACCAATATGCCATGCTTTACCTTCAGCTTCCGTACATTCATCATCGAATATAAGTCGTTGACATTGTGGACAACGTGGTTTAAATAATTCAACAAAATGACGACCACAATAAAGTTTATATGATAAAGAGGAACTATTATCTGGATGAATAAATCCTTTTAAATCAACTAAAACTTGATTACATTCACAACAAGTGAAACAATCAATATGATAATAACGAAATAATCGATGTAATCGTTTTTGATTTGATGATGATGATGGAGATTCGTTACTCGATATAATTGCTTTCACACAATGTATTTGGTTACCGATTTCATTTTTACACTGATAACATGTTTGCGGTTGCTGTTGTTGTTGTTGTCGATCCAATTGACATAATTCAGTTCGTATTAATGCTTTACGTCGTTTATGTCTTAAAAATTTATATTCAGCTGAATATTTTTGTTTATTATTATTATTCGATTGATGATGATGATCATTAAAAATTTGTTCATTATCATCATCATGATCAGGCATCTGATATTGAAGTTGTTTTTCACGCCAAGCTGATCCTATGAATTGAATAATGATAATTTTGAAAAAAAATCTCTTGGAAAAATTCATTCAAATACCTTTATATTGTGCCATAAATTGACTAATTTTTTGATGATTATGATGATGATTATTATTGTGATTATTATTGATAAGTATAGTGGCAGTTGATTCTTGTAAATTTTTTATACGATTTTTCCATGAATTAACAAATGGCTGTGCAATTCGATTTGCAGCAATCAAATGATTCATATAGAATGGATTTGATTGTGGATGATGTTGTTGTTGAATATTATTGTTCAATGGTAATGGTAACGAACGAATCATTTCTTTACCATTAACAGATAAATCTTTACCAACAACAGATGTTGATTTTTTCATCATCATCAAATTCTGTCGATGATTTCTTGGTAATGTAAACAAACCCGATGTTGCCGTTGTTGTTGTTGTTGTTTTGGTTAATTTTTCCATATTTTTATCAACAATAATTAATGGCAATGTGGTCATTGACTTGCTTGAATTTTTATTATTTATCAATTGTTGATTATTGATCATCATTATTTTATTATTATTATTGATAATTAAATGATGATCATCAACCAGATAATGTTTTGAATTAAACATTTCTTGTTGTGATTTTGAGGATTCATTTGTTTGATGATGAGGATGATGATGGATAATATTACCATTAGGATGATCTC